CTTTTAAGGCATATTACCGGTATAATCAACTATGGTAGTAGACAATGTTTTGAGTTATATATAGATATAGAGAGATAGATACTAATATCAATGATGTTCCAAGAATAAACAAGATATTCTTAATAATCAGTATTGGTGTTGTGGAGATTACCAAGTTTTTGATTGAGATCATGAATCGATCGATGTTAGACCACCGTTGAAAACCTGGAAGCACTGGATGGCCGTTTCGTCCCAGTATGGGACTCGTCAGCCGTGTGCATACACGAACCCGCCCGCGGATTCGAACCCAGGGCTTTCAGTCTAGCGCGCGAACGCTTAACCTACTGGACCACTGAGCTGGCATCCAATGGTGTTAATGTCTCAATAAATCTTATCACTAGAACTAAGTATTCAAAGTTGATTCTGATAAAGTTTTGTTCTCACAGTTAGATCGTCGTTTAGTCGTGAAGTTTTCATCGATCTTCTGAATGATATCATCAGGATAAACATCAGATTAAACGATCAATTAATCAATCATTTTGTTATGATCGATTGAATAATAATAATGCTATGTATGTTTAAAACCCATGTGCGAGATCGTGGATGTACACTGATGAAGAGTTTTATACTAAGATGAAACAGCCATCCAAAGTGGTCTAGCTTTAATCAACTCATGAATTCAACTATTGAAATTACTACAATCATTGCAAAACTTATTTTTCTGTTTACTGTTGAAAATAATCTCTAATTATCAATTCAGAAAGATCAAGTATGATAATATCAATCTCTGAGATGGTGGAGAAGATTTATAGCTCAGATGGATGATTTTGATGAAGTTTTGTTCTCTGAGCTAGATGGTTTGGTCGTAAAGATTTCATTGTTCTTCTGAACGACATCATCAGCACAAATTCCAGGTAGAGATCTGAAGTGTTCGAATTTCTCCACATATGATTCACAGCTTGTCCTGTACACCTTCATGTTCGTTGGTTCTTGTTAATATGAAACCTGTCATTGTTTACTTCTTTGTTTTGGTTGTATGTCCTATCGGTTTGACTTTTGACTTCCTGATTGATTGATAAATTGGATCGATTTCAATATGTTTAACGGTTGTTGATTGACCTGATTGCCAAGCTTTTAAAAATTCTCTGGTGCTTCTGACATTTCCTCTATCCAAGATTTCCACATTTTTCTAGTCAAAGGAGTGTCCGCAGTTGTCCACGTGTATTGATATAAGTGAGGACATGTCATAGCGTTTGAGTGATAAATGATGTTCATTCAGACAAAGATGAAGAGGGTGTCCGCTTTGTCCGACGTAGTGTTTTTCACAATCAGCAAAATTTATTTTGTAGATGATGTTTCGTTTATCTTCTTTTGTCATTTCATCCTTTGCTTTGCATAGGATTGACTGTAGTAATTTTGTTGGTTTATGTGCTACACCTATTCCAAAGGGTTTCAGTAGTCTCTATGTAGTTTCTGATACGTCTTTTCTAGGTGGTAAGGTGATTCTTATGTTGATTTCTGTACTTGACTTTGTTTCTAATGATGAGTGCGGCTGGTATTTTTTTGATGAAGTTAATTGGGTAGCGGTTCTTTTAAAAGACGGTCTTCATTTTTTCGTGCTTCAAGTGTGTTGCAGTGTGTCATCGCCCTCTTGAACAAAGTTTGTACACAACTGATGTTGTCAGCTTTTAGGTTGTTTAAAGTCAACAAGAACCAGTCAACATGGAGGTCTACAGAACAAACTGTGAACTATATGTGGAAAAATTCGTACAGGTATATAATACTTAATGTTTTCAGATTAACACTCTACAAAGCTAGACCACCATGGAAAACCTGGAAGCACTGGATGGCCGTTTCGTCCTACTATAGGGCTCCTCATCAATACAAATCCACGATCCTACCTTGTGAGATTCGAATCCAGGACTTAGTAAAAAAAATAAAAAAATACTTGGGATATTTTTATGCTTAGCAATCCCACTTTCATTTACTCTACGATGTGGCTTCACTTGTTCAAAAAATTTTCTTTTTTGGATTAAGTTGGTCATCAAGATTGTGTCTAATTCCAGGAATCACAATTGAATCACTTGACTGTATATCTGGACCCTCATCAATCAGAGACTCTACTCTAAAACTATTTAACAAGTAATTTCATACATTTCAATGCTAGCATTATTATTATTATTATTTGAACACATAGACATTGGTACAAGAAGGCACCAAATACATATGCGCCACATAAATCTTATTTAATTTTTGTGAGGGCTGTGGTACTGCCCGGGTGTCTAAACCGAAGCAGGTAGTTTTCTTAGGGGGGCACTTAATGTTTGATCCATAAGGCAATGGAGCATTGTAAGGAGATGTAGTCCCATGGTAACCGGTGACTAACGATTGGTTCTCACGCCATTTGTTCCCTCAGGATCCAATGGTTTGTAATCAGGGTATTCCAACTCCCCTAGGTAGACCTCCGTATCCACCAACCCGGTTAAAGCGGACTCTCCCCATTCTCTGCCGTACCAGAGCATTTGTGGGCATACTCTTTCTAATATTTACCACTATAAAAGTATTCAAGTTGATATTCCGTTAACAAGTTTCAATGATTATAACATTAAATGGAATGAATCTCCTTTGTAGCTTATTAGCATCTTAAGTAAACTCTTCTATAGTTTGATTGAATAAATACTTTATTCATTTACTTACTTTAACCAATTGATCGTACTTATGATATTTCTATGTAGTAAATAACTACTTAGTAAGCAATGATAAGTAGTGGCTAGCAATGGGATCCAGTTTGGTGCACGTTTCGTCCTATTCGAAACTTGTTAGCTAGATGTAACTGTATCAGATAGTTAAGGTCTGCTCCACGATTCGAACCCGATACTGTTCACTTCAAACACCATCACGTTATCCACTTATCTTACTTATTATTTATTTATTTATTTGAACACATAAATATTGGTACAGGGGGGAACCAAATATATATGCGCTACACAAAACAATGATAATTTGAAGAGAAGGGAGAAAAAAAGAGAGAGAACAACAATCGGAGAAACGGAAAGGTACAATGAGAAGAAATCTTTCAGTTAAGGAAGATACAACCACTTTTTGTGAAGAAAGTAAGAGGTTACAGCACGATCGCCACTGGCTTCTGTTCTTAGCCATATCTGATAACGTCTCTAGCCACTGTGTTACACCGTCTCTCGGACTCCAACCAGGGAGTCGTGGAGGACCAACAGAAGCTAGCCCTTTGCAGCTTTCTTTCATACCACGACACCATGTCATATACTGACCACCTCTCCGCTTTTTCCAACCAGTCCCAGAGTCGGAAAATAATGCACGACGTGCAATTCTCTGGGACGACATTCGTAGAACATGTCCAAGCCACCGAAGTCGGTGTTTCAAGATGGTGACACCAATTTCATTATCGTCTCTGTGACCGAACACACGATGCCGGACCTCTGCATTACTGACATGGTGTTGCCACTTGATGCCAGCAATCCTTCGGAAACAACGATGATCGAACACAGAGAGTCGTCTAACATCCTCAACTCGGAGAGGCCAAGTTTCACGAGCATAGAGCAAAACTGCTCTCACCGTCGCATTGTAGATCCGACCTTTTACATCCAGACTAACATCACTAAAATCATGATGAACTATCCATTTATCTCCTGAGTCCTGATAGCCACTAGTATGAAGTTTAAATTGACAAGGTATTGTTTGCTTGTATCTTCACATTGATGTTTAGGATTGCGATTGTTCAGTCTCTTATCGGCATGTGTACATCCTGTGCGCATTACCTCAACATTGCCTTAAGTCACAAGCATTATAAGCAAAAATGGATAGTGGCTAGCAGTACAATCCAATACGCGCGTTTCGTCCTATTTGGAACTCATCAGTTAGATTTATCTACATCTCAGAGTTGATGTCCACTATAGGACTCGAACCGAAAACCGTTCACTTCAAACGCTATCATGTTACTCACTTAGCTAAGGAGTTATGCTTGTGCGATGGGGGTGGTTTTAAGTTCATTTGTTATTATTCATTTAAATCTTCCCATTAATGTTAATAATTATATATTTGAAATAACCTATTCAGATATTTAATTGAATCATTTTTAAACTGATGAATAAAGAGGATTGTTAAGTTTGCTTACATTGTTCCTACTCGTTTCCTTTCTACTCTTTTGTATATTGTTTTGTACTACTTATTTACATTCAGTAAGCAATTGTATTTCCAACAATTTTGCACCTATGTTGTAACGCAAGTCGTATTGTATTATTCTGAATTATTCACATATATTTATGACGTTTATTGTACTTATCATTGTATTTATCATTATAATTACTGTACCTTAATCACTGTAACGTTTAACCACAGTTTCTTGAATTTGTTTAAACGCAACAGTTTCCATATTGTTTTGCTCTTGGTTCGGGTTTCGGTTGTTCATAAACTGCTATCAAATTTAGACACAGCTGTCAGCTGTCCTTTGTACTATCGAAGCCTTTTATCTTTATACTTGAAGGACGCGTTTAAACACCACAGACACCTCACAAGTTGAGACAAATCGTTGTTTTGGAACATCGGTTTCGCGCGTATCTCAATCAGGTGAAGTAGACGCTTCGATAGAAGTAACAAGGATAAATAAATTTCTTGAAAAAATTTATCTACTTAACTTTATACTACTTAATTTCTATGATTATTTTCCTATCCATTATATCCTTCATGCATAAATCATTTCTGAAACTTTGACAATTTTATAATGAACATTATAAATCAATTCATATTAGATCATCATTGAAAATCTAGAAGTAATGGATAATCGTTTCATCCAATTGTTGAACTCTTTAACAGTACACATCCAAAATCCTACCTCACAAGATATGAGCTCAGACTCTTCGGTCTCTCATGCACTGAAACGTTTAACCTTTAAATCATTAAGCCAATAATTTTAACCTTTTAGAATATGGACATACATAATGTATTTTCACTTTATTTGTTTGTTCTGTTTTTTTTTTTGTTATTAGAATTACAAATAGAATAGAGAATATGAATTGTATTAAATTCTATTTATCATCATTTGTTATTATTATTGTAAGTTCTATGATATTGATCAAGTGTCATCGAATGATACATGAATATGGTGAGTTATAATTGATTATAGTTCTGTTTTTTATATTTAGTATGAAAGAATTACTTTGAAATAGTTTTTAATGAAGTTTTATTCTTTGAATTGAATAGTTTAATCGTGGAGTTTTTATCGTTCATCACGACTGTTATTAACACGTGCGCACACAGTACGTAGTTCCTTGATATTGCTTTAATTTACAAGCATTATAAAGCAAAGATGGATAGTGGCTAGTAATGGAATACAGTTTGACGATCATTTCGTCTATAATTGGGATACGTCAGTTGGATGTACTTGCATCTTAGAGTTGATGTTCACTTTGGGACTCGGAGCCAATATCATTCGTTTCAAACACCATTACGTTATCCACTTAACTACTGATTCATAATAGACACTTGCTTGTGCAATGAGGGTGAAGTTTAATTCACTTGATATTGTTTTACTTGAATCTTCCCAATGATGTTTAGGACTGCAATTGATCAGTCTGTTATTGGCATATGTGGATATTGTGCGTATTGCCTAGAATATTGCCTTCATTTACAAACATTATAAACAAAGATGGATGGTGAATGGTAGTGATACACATCTAGTAAGATGTCTTGAAAATAAGGATAGAAGAATATGTTCAGATGACAGTATAAACATGGAACTAGAGTTTATTCATAATTATTTACTTATCTGAGCTTATTACCGCTAGTGCAACGTAAGCCATCAACCAAGATTCGCTATCAAACTTTATCCTGGACTTTCCTCTCCAGTTGCTATTCATCCTTTTCATGTATGATTCCAATTGATGATGCAGTGGTTTTTTCGTCTTCCTCTTTTCCGTTTTACCTCAGAATTTAAAGTTAGAGATTGACTCATTATGCAGTTTTTTATCGCAATTGTTTTCTACGGAATAAGGTTGGTGACCCCATGCTCAACCCTTATCCTTCGATTGAGATTTAGATTGGCAGTGATCTTAGAAGGGCTATAGGCAGAGTTTTTATTCATAATATTTTTAATGAAATGAGTTATGCACAAGGCTTTTTGAAGAACTATATGCGTACAGTGGACAGGAATATAGTGACATCACCGGTTGTTAAAATACTTCTCTTCTTGAATCTCAACTGCTCCTGTGGAGAAAGGTATTTTGGTAGACAACCAACGAGGTGCTGAACACCTCCCCTAGTGATAACGTAAGAGTGTACCCAGAACAAAACCTGCGTCCGTTCCATCACGTTTATCCGATAACGATCCTGTAATAATCATTTCGCGTAATCTATTATATACCTACTACTTCCATTTATTGGGTTCGATCTTGTCTTTTATATGTGGTAAACATTATAGGGATTCCAGCTGACAATCCAAGTACTAGTATTAACTAGAAATTCGTAACAAACTTATCCTTTCTTTGACCGAATCAGTATTAGCAAATTATCTGAACACTTATGACGTAATATCAGTAATCTTTAGTGAATGTTATTTCAGTGTCTAATTTTCCAAGTTATTGACCTACTTCCTATTATAACTTACTTACTTACGCCTGTTACCCCCACCCGTGTTGCATAGGCCGCTGACCACCATTCTCCAACCCATTCTGTCCAGGGCCTTCCTTTTTACTTCTATTCAAAATTTGACCATTCTTCTCATGTCTCCCTCCATTTATCGGCGTAATGTATTCTTTCGTCTTCATCTTCTCCTTTGACCTTGAGGATTCCATGTGAGGGCTTGCCTTATGACGCAGTTGGATGCTTTCCTCAATGTGTGTCCAGTGATTCTTCCTGATTTCTTCCTCCATTGGGATCTGATTTGTTCTCTCACACAATAGGTTGTTGCTAATAGTGTCTGGCCAACGGATCCGAAGTATTTTGCGTAGACAACTGTTAATAAACACCTGTATCTTCTGGATGATGGCTTTCGTGGTTTTCCAGGTTTCCATCCCCATACAGTAGAACTGTCTTCATATTTGTATTGAAAATTCTGACTTTGGTGTTGGTTGCCAATTGTATTCACGTTTTACTGACAAATGTTAACAAGCAACTAATCCAGGCAAAGTAGAAGGGATTATTATCGACTATTTTCAGTCTGCTAATAAAAGTAACTGACTGATGGATCTGGAAATCATTTCTGATATGATAAATTTATTCAAAGAGATTGTTACTGGTTTAGTTTCATTTTATTAATTTAACACATAAAGATTGGTACAAGAAGGCACCAAATAGATATGTGCGACATAAATCATTCGATTTATGTGAGTGTTTGGATACTGTCCGGGTATACAAACTAAAGTAGGTGGTTTAATTACGGGTCCATACTTGAATCCTTTGACCTGAAGGTTTAATCCATAAGACATTGGGACAACGTCAGGTGATTCAGTCCCATGGTGGCCGATGACCAATGATTGGTTCATACGCCTTTTGTTCTCTCAGGATACTGGAGCACATATGCACTATTGATTCGGAATCCGGGTTTTCCAACATCCCTAAGTGGATCCACATTTATCTACCAACCCGAGTATAGCGTTTGACATTCGCTTTTTATCCTCTCAATTTCGTAAAAAATACCCATGGCGCGAGAAGACAGTGAGTGGGACTTCCCTGTCAGTGAATAAATTGTACTTTGTTCATTAATTTCTATGAAACATTACTTGACGAGCAGATACTTGAACTATCCAAAGTACCAAAACAATTCTGTCGTTTGGATAAGCTAACCATCGTGAAATTAAGGATGCATCATATACTTGGTTACCGTTTTTTTAGCGGGTTAGTTTTCTATGGAATGGGGCCGCTAACCCCATGCCCAACCCTCCTCCTTTGTCAAGGCTTGGGACCGGCAGTAGACATAGGAGCAGTAGCTCCAGGACGAAATACTCCGGACTCCAGACAAATATATTTTAAAAGTAACAATTCAATAAGCATTTAACATGTAGTTTCATTTAGTCAAATTAGAATCACTAATACAATATAAAAATGAATCTGACAAGTACTGAGCTAAAAAAAGTAGTGATCTACTTATTTCTTTTTTTTGCAAAGTACCTTTCTTCTTACTTATATCTTGTTTTAAAACACTAGATGAACCCCTAATGGATTCAACTAATTCAGATTACACGATAAACATTCCCAGTGGAGAATTATGGTTTAAACGCGTACATCAACCTAGATTTAATAAAAAGAACAGATTACCAATATCAGGTAATTTTGATTGAAATTTATTTAACTACTGAAATACGTTATAAGTAGTTAGTTTGATAATTTATGCATACGAACTATCAACCGTGCAATGAGGAAATTAGTCAAAATGAAATAGTTCAATTGAACATATACGCAAGTAAAATAAGAGCACATAACGTTGATAATCACTTAACTGAAAAATGGGATACATCTCCAACTTATTGATCTTATCGGAAAAGATTCTAGGAAAAGTCACATGATGATTATTCCAAGTTAATGGTCTCTTTTGATGTAACATCATTGTTCACCAATATACCACTTTTTGAAACTATTGATATAATTTGTCAGAATGATGATCTCCTACCTTTACCAGCTCCAGAACTCAAAAAACTACTACTAATGTGCACAACTGATGTTCAATTCCAATTTAATAACACCATATATCGCCAAATCGATGGCGTAGCAATGGGGAGTCCACTAGGTCCAATTCTGGCAGATATTTTTATGGGGTATCTTGAAAACACGGTACTTAAACAGGCGATCAGTGAAACGACGGAATACTACAGATATGTGGACGACACATTTATTGTCTGTAATAATAAACAGCATGCAACCCGCCTGCTAGAACTCTTCAATAACGCTCATCCTAACATTCACTTTACTATGGAGCACGAACAGAACGACATGTTCCACTTTCTTGATGTTGCCATAAGACGTAGGAAAGACGGGACAGTACAACGTTCAGTTTATAGAAAAAGCAATTGGAATGGCCTCTATCTGAATTTCAATAGTTTCTGTCCAATTAGTTACAAGAAGGCACTGGTTAAAACACTATTTGACAGGGTAGAAAGGATATGTACCACCGACAAACTTGAAGAAGAATTAATGAACCTAGAAGAATGTCTAAGAAACAACTTCTATCCACAAAAGTTTATTGACAAATATAAAAAGCCCAAAGAAAACAAGACGGAAATAACTACGGTCAATAAAAAGACAGTATCTATAAATCTTAACTTTAAAGGTGATAACGTCGCACAAATAATCAGTAGGAGACTGAATATTGCGCTTGCCAGAACTTATCCGGCTGCTAAACTTTTAATTTTCTATAAAACAACATGTTCAATAACTCAATCAAAGGTCGACAAGCAACCCTTTCATGTTACCGCCAACTGTATTTATAAATTTACGTGTACCTGCCAAAGCAGCTACATTGGCAGAACAGAAAGGAGAGCATACCTTAGATTTTTTGAACATGTTCCAAAAAGTCTTAGAACAAGGGAAAGAAGGACTCTGAATAGTGCAATCACCAAACATCTCCTTGATACAGGACATCAGGTAGATACCTTACAATCCTTCAAGGTGATTAGTAAGCAGCCAAACTCCAGTCTTCTGAAGTTTGCTGAAGCCGTTGCCATCAGGCGTCAAAAACCTGACCTATGTGTTCAAAAGGAGATGGTTGTTAATCTTTCTTTGCCTTGGTGACAAATATTCCTTCTCTGCACCATAAATTATTATTATTATTTTTGTACTTATTACATCATTGATTTTCATTATTTTTGTTTCTTCAACTACGTTTCAAATTAATAATCTTTTAACTGAACTCTACTCACTATATTCCTATCAAAATTTTTTTTACTCATTATGTAATCAATTGTTTCTAACCCCTTTTTGAACTGTCGTCACAATTAATGATGTAGAATATTCTTTCACAATAGGTATATATTTACAATATTCAGTATATTAATTTCATTTACACCCTTGCTACACTATACAAATATGTCTTCTATATAACTTCTAACCAAACCCTTCTCTCATGTAGATCATTTAAACTCATTATCTTATTATGATTTATAAATATCACAGGTTGTAAGCAACTGATGAGAACTAGACGAAATAAGAATGAATTCATGCTATTCTGCTAAAATCTTTGTTCTAGCTCTTTTCAAAATGATAAAGGGAACTATGTGTATGAAATCTGATAATTTCTGTGTTTATTAGAAAATTCAGCTGCTTGAGTTTGTTTCAGTTGTTTTTCAAGTTATACTGGAATTCTATTACTAGTAATCCGTAAATAGAGATTTCAATTTACAAACGCAGTCCAAGCATTGTTTTTAAAAGGCTTTAAACTACCTACAGACTTTAAGTAGTATGAATGTATCACTTAAACCTTAATAAACATGATAAGCAAAGATAGATAGTCGCTAGCAGTGGAATCCATTTTGACGAGCGTTTCGTCTATAATTGGGACACGTCAGTTTCGATGAACCTGCATCTCAAAGTTGATATTCACTCTGGGACTCGGAGCCAATACCGTTCGCTTCAAACGTCATTACGTTATCCAATTAGCTACTGAGTCCTGATAGACACTTGCTTGTGCAATGAGGGTGAAGTTTAAATTGAATTGGTATTCTTTACTTGAATATTCTGATTGTTGTTTAAGTTTGCAACTGATGAGTCACTTATTTGCATATGTGCATACTGTGAGTATTACCTCAATACTGTCTTTCATCTTTGTTGATAATGCTTATGAATTAAGGCAATATCGAGGCAATACGCGCACAGGATGTACATATGCCAATAAGAGACTGATCGATTGCAGTCGTAAACATCAATGGGAAGATTCAAGTGAAAAAATAACAAATGAACTAATAAACATTCTTCAACCTATTATAATCTAATGTAGAATAGTTCATTTCAACTACTTAAAAATTAATAACTACTATCTTTCGGTATATCAGTTTTTGATAAAACAAATTTAAAGGTAATTTCAATGATTAAGATCATGAGTCAGTTGAAGCTAGACCATCATGGAAAACCTGGAAGCACTGGACGGCCGTTTCGTCCTATTATTGGACTCCTCAGCAGTGCGCATCCATGATCTTAATCATTGAAATTACTACAATCTCCACAAAACCCCTTCTGATAAAATTTAAAGGTGTTATATTTGAACGAATGTTTTCAACTCTTAGATACGAACAAATGTGTACAGTTTACTGGATATTCGAAGATACAGTCCTTTGAATATCATTGAACTTAAAGTGATTCCTTGAATGAACTGGACGAACATAAAATATTCTTACAGTTGTGGAACCCTTTATTTTGTCGTCATTTAGATCGGACGGTGTTTGTTGATGGGCTCTCCACTTTAATGGCCCGAGTTCTGACTCCAAGTAGATCGCATGAATGATTGTTATTGAAATATACATGTCACCTATCCTCGTATATAATCATCGACTTAAATCGCGTTCAGTGAATAACGGAATTAAATAAGTCAAATAACGAGAATGGACATTTTGGATACATGTATTTTGTATATGAAGCGAATGGAATAGAGAGGAGCGAAACGACTCACAGTGGATATGGCGGGTAAGCCAACTCCATGTAGTCAAGGGTTAATCAATATTTATAAGCACACAAAGATAAATTACAGACATGTGATGAGTAATGGGATAAGAAGTGAACACACACCTACGCGCTCATATAAACACAGTCAAGATTGATAAGCGAATAATCAACATGGTTAAAATGTGAATAGATTGGGTTGTCCGAAAGCTAGAATAAGGTATATGAGGTTAATATAATAACCGACACTACACAGTTATATAGAATTCTTTACATGGGTTCATTTTTTTGATATAGTTTTGTTCTTTGATCTGGATGGTTTAAATGCGAAGCTTTCATTGTTCTTCTTCTGAACAACATCATCAACACAAACTTCAGATAGACCACTTTACATACAAAGAACAAAACTCTATCAAAATCATTCACCTAAACTACAAATCTTCTCCATCATTCATTGGATTCATTTCATAATAATATGACTCTTACAATCTATATCATGAAGTTCACTTGATATTGTTTTACTTGTATCTTCCCATTGATTTTTAGCACTGCAATCGATCAGTCTCTTATTGATAAATGTGCATCCTGTACGTATTACCTCGATATTGAATTACTTTACAAGCATTATAAGCAAAGATGGAAAACAACACTAAGGCAATACTCACAGTATGCACATATGCAAATAAATGACTTATGAATTGTAGACGTAAACATCAATAAGAAGATTCAAGTAAAACAATATCAAGTGAATTAAACTTCACCCTCATTGCACAAGCAAGTGTATATCAGGACTCAGTAAGTAACTGGATAACGCGATGGTGTTTGAAACGAATGATATTGGCTCCGAGTCCCAGAGTGAACATCAACTCTAAGATGCAAGTACATCCAACTGACAAGTCCCAAATAGGACGATAGGTGCTTCAAACTGTATTCCACTTCTAGCCACTATCCATCATTGCTATATCATAAAATGATCATTTTTCATTTATATTTTTTTTTCATTATAATTATTGATCAATTCAATGTATTTGTTTCTATGGTATGATATTCCTCTTTTTTTTTATTTTTAGTGAAACGTCCACAAAAATCAGCAAATTATTATTATGATCTTTATCGACAATCCATGTTACCAACAAATGAATTTCTTGGTTAATTAAAAAAAACAAAAAAAAAACACCAAAAAAACACCAAAAAAAAACACCAAAAAAAATGTTTATTGATTATTGTGAAAACTTCATTTTTGTTTCATTCATATGTATTTAGTGCTGTTTAAAGAGAATATAAATAAATAAATGAATGACTATTGAATGGTTAATAATATGTTTATCATTTATTCTTATCTTTGAAAGATAAACGATAAAAGTAGAGGAAATTTTTAGGTTACGAGGATTTGATCGATATGTGTCTTCGAAACATTGATCGAATAGCCTGGAACCATCGATTAAGTAATGCAAGTTGTTAGGAAATGGTTATTAGATAGAGATAGTGAATCAATTGATGAAATAGTGAAACTTGATCAGTTGAGATGGCTTAGATATGGAGTTGAGTATCACCAATCACTGACTGCCTCGATGTGTGCTGTTTTTTTATAGTGTAGGAGTAGGTTGGAAGAAAGGTAAAGGCGGTCAGACCAAAACATAGCACAAATCTATGAAATCACTGACAAGTGGACTGATTTATGTTGGTAGATGTAGACTACCTGGTTCCGGGGATCCACGAGATGGTTAGAAACTTTGAATGATATGGCTCAAAATCGTTTGCAATGGTGTGAGTAGATGAATCCATTCTTCGTGTTCTCATAAATTCTAATCTGAATTCTTCATATCTCTTTCCAAATTTATTTCAGTGTATTATAGTCCTTGAATAACATCTTCAAACCCTAATCTTTCCGATTCCTGCTTATACTCTTACTACCTCTACCACTACGGGATTTGAATCGACAATTGTATCTCTGTGCTAATGTGGTATGGCAACTCGAACTGATGTACGTACGTACGAAGTACTACGTTATTGCTGATTGACTCACCTTTTCTTCTATTAGTGGTCAACATTTCTGAGGTATAGGTTATCTGTTCAATAGAGATATAAACTTAGCTGCTGAAATTTTTAATGATGAGATGATAGAGAAGATTTGTAGCTCAAGTGGATGATTTTGATGAAGTTATGTTCACTAAGTTAAATGGTTTGGTTGTAGAAATTTCATCGTTCTTCTGAACGATATCATCGACCTCTATCCAAATCTTGGATACAACCAAAACAAAAAAGTAAAGAATGAAAGGTTTAAGGTCAACAAGAAACAACAGGACAATCTGTGAACTATGTGTGAACAAATTCGAACACTTCACTTCTACCTGGAATTTATGCTGATGATGTCATTCAGAAGAAAGACGAGAACTCCACCATCAAACTATCCAGCTTAGAGAACAAAACCCCATCAAAATTTTTGATGAAGTATGGACGGAACCTGTTATGGGATTCATAAAGTGTTGATAATCATTCGTGGGGACAGTGTTGGTTATCTCTGTGTTTTCTCTGTTCAATACTTCGACAGCACCGTTATTGTTCAGAGGAATGACAGAAAATACCTAATCTATGCCGCCTAGAAATTTTCATCAGAGAATACTTATCAAACCAATCATCAAATACAAAATCATCAGCAAAATTCGATAAATGAATAATTTTACCCTAGATAGCAAACATCTCCGAAGATAACTAAGACCAGGTATAGCCCATAAGCCAATAAAATGTTTTCAAATAATGGTATAGAAGCCAGAAGGCATGACGCTAGACGTATACAAAACCAGACAACATCTACACGATACATGTCACTAATTACGACAAATATTATGTAAGCTAGACTGGTCATCCTCTTAGTCTACGTCTACATATACACATGAACACCACATGAAACAGCCATTCTCTCATATCAATGCATGTTCCAAGAGAATTTCTGTAAAACTAGGATTCTAATTAAGCATTGATGAATAGAAACATTGAAATCAACTATATCTGTCAAGTAATAAGAAAAATGTATAAGTAACTCGAAAGTCAGAGTACGAGTCAGGAGATGAAAGAAACTCAAAATAGGCATACAAACAACTACTATACAGTAAATTCATTTTGTATTGTTTGGTTGAATGTTTACATTGATGTTTTAAGACTGCAATAGGTCAGTCTCATCATGGACGGAACGCCTTGATATTGTCTTCATTCATAAATATTATAAGCAAAGATAGATGGTGGCTAGCAATGGAATCTACGACGCGAGTTTCGTCCTATTTGGGATTCTTCAGCTAGAACACAAAAATCAAACTGATTCATCATATTTCCATAGATTTATAATAATTATTTTCTTCATATCTGTAATATACATATATATATTGTAAAAGCGATCTAATGACAAATTAGGCTCCTACTTTTTATATGTTAAGGAGATCCAGTGAATTCCTCGACAAAAAAAATAAATCAATAAGAAGCTCTAAGGTTACTGAGATACATTTTATCCAGTCAGCATTCAATAGAAGTTATGTTAGTTACATCTCGAAAGTATAAAGTCATATATCACATTTCTGATTGAATGATTATCTATACTGTTACTATATTTAGTAGCATGCCAGAGTTTTCCAGAAACTTAAGGTCATCTAATATGCTATAAATACCCTCTATTTTCTATATATAAGCTACTCTCGGAATAAAGTATTTCTTCCATTTGTTATGTCTTTTCTCTCATGTTCAAATTGCTATGTAAATTTAGCCTAGCAGTTATTAGAAGAGCTAAGGAAATTGTATTTAACATTCAATTATGAAAAGAACATATGGAACTCAAAACAACTTTCAACCAATATCAAAGTCACAATCTTCAATACGAACGTCAAGGCAGTTCTACTGTACGGAGCTGAAACTTGGAGAACTACAACAACCACCATCAAGAAGGTGCAAGTATTTATCAATAGCTGTCTACGCAAGATACTCAACATCCAACATTGGCCGAATACCATCAGCAACAACCTTTTGTGGGAGAAAACCAACCAGCTTCCAGTGGAAGAAGAAATTAGGAAAAGACGATGGAAATGGATAGGACATACATTGAGGAAATCATCAAACTGGATTACGAGACAAGCGCTAACTTGTAATCCTGAAGGGAAGCGGAAAAGAGGAAGGCCAAAGAACACATTACGTCGGGAAATAGAAGCAGATATGAAAGGGATGAATAAGAACTGGAAAGAGCTTGAAAGGATTGGTTGGGACAGGGTTGGATGGAGAATGCTGGTGAGCGGCCTATGCTCCTTCACGAGGAGTAACAGGCGTAAGTAAGTAAGTAAGTAAGTAATTCAATTATGAAAACTTATCACTTGAATAAAACAAAAATTCAATTGAGTTCATAAATATAAATTGATTGATTGATTTTATTTTAATCTATCTACATATATTCATCTACATATTTCACTGAAGGCTGTTACTTTTCTACGAGGATTAACTGATAGGTCGTGGGTTCGAATCTTGCGAAGCGCGATGGCGGATGCGTACTGGTGATGAAATAACCAGGTTTTCCATGATGGTCTAACTTCAAATGACTCATGATCTCAATTATTTCAATCACTATAATATCTACAAATAACCTATCTTTTGATATTAATCAACATAAACTTACTAGTGGCTGACTTCAAGAAGTATTTCCTGGAGCTCTAATAAGAAGCAGTGATCAGTGGAATTCAACCAGGTCAGTATATCTCTACAATAATTTTCTTTTGGTTTTTTTGTTTAAGTTATGTAAGAGAGGAGCTCAGTGTCTATTACTAGTTTGATTTTCTCTCTGATCCTGTAATCAGCTTTGCTATGCCTAACCGTCGAATAAAATTTTCTATTATTCGCGTTAATTAAGGGTAAGAACAAGAACTTGGAATTGGTCTACAACTGGTTAAACCTGGAAGCACTGTATGGCCGTTTCGTCCTATTGTGCGACTCTTCAGCACTGCTCATTCAAGATCCTGCCTTGCCGGATTCGAACCCAGTATCTACTGGTACTAATCAACATGTGCTTACTAGTGACTGGCTTCAAAATGTATATCCTGGAGTTCTAGTGAGAAACAATGACCAGTGGAGTTCAACCGAGTCAGTTGTGAGATAGTAACTGACTGATCACAATGGTGGATATGTCGCTCATTTTCATGCATTAGTTGAAGATAGACATCGTTATACACCGCTGAATACCGGATCAGTGATCTATAAGTTAAATGTTCACACTCAAGACCGTCAGATCATGAGTTCGAATCTCGCGACTTGAGATCTTAGATGTGCATTGCTGAAGATCATCTCATATAAACATTTCATAAGTAACTCCTCTTTTTGATATCAAATATTAAAACAAAACAAACAATCTATTTATAGAAAGAATAGTATTCTTTTATTATTAAAATATTAAATGACGTTTACGATTAATATCTAAAATCATTCGAATAGAATCTTTTATAATCCATTTCATTTTATCTATATCTAATGAACAAATAATATGAAAATATAAATGTGATCCTTTTATAGTTGCATGATTATGTAATTCTATTAAATATGATTTAATCATTTCAATAAATACATTCCAATCTATAAAGAAAAAAAAAGAAAAAAGAAAAAGTATGTATTGTTTAAACTGAAGAAGTAGCTTAAACGGGGTGACGAAACATTGAAAAATGTTTTGAAAAATCGTTTTATCAGGGGTTGTGAAGATTGTTAAGTTTTTAATTGAAATCATGAACCGTGTGATGTTAGACCACCATTGAAAACTTGGAAGCATTGGATAACCGTTTCGTCCTATTGTGGGACGCGTCAGTAGTCCGCATCCATGATCCTGCTCACGGGATTCGAACCCAGCACTTAACTAACAAGCTATTGAGCCTGCCGTGATTCAACAGTCTTAATGTCTAACTTCAACTAATCCACAAAATTGAGCGACCATCTATCATTGTACTGAGGTAAATACCTTTCTCTACTCGACACGAACGAGAACAAAGACTCGGTGACCAAAGACTAATAAGCTAGATATTCTGATGCGTCCCAGTCTCACTAACAAGTGGAAGAAATCCAACCTTGAAATGGGGAAGTATATTCCGGAAACAGACAGAAACGAGCAATAACAACAAACACAAATCAAAACGTATATACACAGTACAAAACCGTCCTTGGGGAGAGTTACCAAATAACCTACTAAAGGACACAACGGACCAATAGCATTTAAGATTCTTCCAAATGGGAAATACAACATGAAGGTGGAAAAAGCGCTTTCGGCGTGAAAACAAAGAAATTCAAATTTTCAAAATAAAATTACAAAATTAGATCCTTTTCCAAATGAGATCTAGGGATCTAACGCCTCCAAAAGTGTCCACCTAGTTACTAGGATCAAATGAATGTTATAAAGTAGTGTAAAAAAATTCAAATTATGATTTACAGTTGATAGTTAAGGGTTAGGAATTAAATTAAGGGTTGTTTTTTAATCACGAACTGACATTAGCTATAATGCCGGAACTTCATTTAACCAAATGGATGAGTAAAATTTCGCGTCAAAATCTGAGACGTGTTATCTAATACGTGATGGGTTTATCCATAAATTATTGTTTCGCTATTATTATTATTATTATTATTATTATTATTATTATTATTATTATTATTATTATTAGTAGTAGTAGTAGTAGTAGTAGTAGTAGTAGTAGGTGTAGTAGTAGTAGTGGTAGTGGTAGTGGTAGTAGTAGTGTTAGTAGTCGTAGTAGTAGTAATAATAGTAGTAGTAGTAGTAGTAGTGGTAGTAGTAGTGGTAATAGTAGTAGTAGTAGTCATAGTCGTAGTAGTCGAAGTAGTAGTAGTAGTAGTAGTAGTAGTAGTAGTAGTAGGTGTAGTAGTAGTAGTGGTAGTGGTAGTGGTAGTAGTAGTGTTAGTAGTCGTAGTAGTAGTAGTAGTAGTAGTAGTAGTAGTAGTAGTAGTGGTAGTAGTAGTGGTAATAGTAGTAGTAGTAGTCATAGTCGTAGTAGTCGAAGTAGCAGTAGTAGTAGTAGTAGTAGTAGTACTGGTAGTCGTAGTAGTAGTAGTAGTAGTAGTAGTAGAGTAGTAGTAGTAGTAGTAGAGTAGTAGTAGTAGTAGAGTAGTAGTAGTAGTAGTAGTAGTAGTAGTAGTAGTAGAGTAGTAGTAGTCAGTAACAACGTGGAACTACGTACGTACGTACATCAGTTCGAGTCGCCATACCACATTAGCACAAAGATTCACTTATCGATTCAAATCCCGTAGTGGTGGAGGTAGTGAAAGTATAATTAGTGACAGGGAACATTAAGGTTTGATTATGTTATTTAAGGAGTATAGTCCAGTGGAATAGATTTGAAAAGAAAATAAAGGACATGTAGAACTCAGAAGATTAGACTTTGAGAGAACACAGAGAGTGGATGCACCTGCGCCATTTCAAACAATTTTGAGCCATTTCATTCAAGGTCTCTAACTATCGGCTGCTATCAAATCGAGGTCCTCAACCAGGTAGTCTACACCTACCAACATGACTCAGTCCACTTGTCAGCGACTTCATGGATTTGTGCCACATTTCGGTCTGGCCACCCCTAGCTTTCTTCCAACCCACTACTGCACCATAAAACACCGCATGTCGGGGCAGTCGGTGGTTGGGCATACGTAACACATGTCCAAGCCATCTCAACTGATGAAGTTTTACTACTTCATCAATTGATTCGCCATCGTTATCTAACAATTACATTAGTTACTCGATGGTTCCAGGATATACGATCAATGTTTCGAAGACACCTATGACCGAATACTAGTAACCTACGAATATCCTCTACTCTTATCGTCCATGTTTTATTGCCATAAAGAAGAACGGGACGAACTACTGCTCAGTAAACCCGTCCTATGGTTGATAGACGGATATCTCGCCTATACCACAAATGACGCAAGTTGACAAATCCTAGTCGAGCCTTCTGTATCCGTGCTGAGATTTCGTCACACACCAGACCACAAGGGCTGATGAGACTTCGAAGATTAGTGAAGCGGTCGACACGCTCAACTACTTCACTCCCTATCACTAGTTCGGGTGTCGATGCAACCCAATCCTGAAGCAATATTTTGCATTTCGAGGGAGAGAATCGCATCCCAAACATGCCTGCATTGTTGCTTAGAGCGGTCAGCAGACTCTGCATTTTGTCAGCTTCCTCACTAAATAGAACTATGTCATCGGCATATTCTAAGTCAATAAGTGAATTTCCCGGTAGAAGTTCAAGCACTGGAAAGTCAGATGTGGAAAGTGTCATCTCTAAAAGCACGTCAATGATAAAATTAAACAAGAATGGAGAGAGTGAACAGCCCTGACGAACACCACTTGAGGTAATCAGTTCTGATGACAGTTCGCCATAAGCTCTCACTCGACCAGTTGTGTTCGAGTAAAAAGCCTTTATAAGATTGATGTACTTCTTTAGTACTCCCTTCAGTGACAAACACTGCCATAGAACCTCACGATCAACAGAGTCAAATGCCGCCTTAAGCTCGAGAAAGACTACCATTGTGGGGCGTCTGAATGTGTGTCTATGTTCTAGGACCTGACGTAATGTGAATATTTGATCAATACAACCACGTCCAGGTCGAAAACCAGCCTGGTTTTCTCTAGTCTGCTCTTCACGAGCTTTGGTTAGGCGTCGAAGTATTATTGAAGCTAATATTTTAGACACTATATTAGTCAAACTAATTCCTCTGTGATTGTCACAAGAAGACTTTTGTCCTTTCTTATAGACTGACACAATCAGTGATTGAGACCAGTCAGATGGGATTACGTCCTGTTCCCAGATTCTACCTAAGACCTCAGTCAATCTCGCTGCTAATACTGGACCGCCATCCTCAAAAATCTCAGGGGTAAACCTGTCAGGGCCTGCTGCTCTCCCACGCTTCAGATTTCCTATAGCTTTTTCAACTTCGTAAAGAGTCGGAGGACTTACATCAACTTGCCATTCAGGTCGACTGGGGATCGTGGGAAACCGAAGTGTGGCTGAAGGCCAGTTGAACTGATCCCTAAAGTGTTCTGCCCATCGATCCAATTTCCTGGATTGAGAATGAATAATATGTCCATCTTTCTCTGAGATTTTTTCGCTAACAAATGGGTTCCTAATACCGGTTTCTTTAACAAGTCTGAACAGTTGCCTGCTGTTACCTATTGCCGCTGCCTTTTCCATCTCTCTTGATTTCGCTACCCACCACTGTTCACGATCATTGCGTAAGCTTCTAGTCAGCTTACGCTTAAGCTGAATCCGCTCTTTGTTATGTTGAGAGCCAGATGGACTGAGTTTACGAGCATCTATCAGTGCGGTAGATGCTGCTGAGATCCAGTGTTTCTCCCTAACCTTATGGTTTACCGTACTTGCAGACATCACTGCTGTTTCTACAGCTTTTCGGATGTCATTCCACGCTGCCTCGGGGTGGGCATCACTAACATGGCTGTCTAACTGTTTTTCTAGTTGTTCCTGAAATATACTCTTAGCTTGATTATCATTAAGTAGGACCCTAAGGGGTTTCCTTGCACCATCTTTCCTACGTCCAGTAAGGACAGACTGGGCACCCGGGCAGTATCTCAGCCCACACGCACAAATAAGATTTTGTGTGGCGCATATATATTTGGTGCCCTCTTGTACCAATATTTATGTGTTCAAGTAAAATAATATAAATACGTCCAGTAAGACGTAGATAAATACGCGCGCGCATTAGAGCATGATCTGAGTCTAAGCATATGCTCCAGAATGAGCGACAGTCTTCTATCAAACCCCTATATCGGTGGTTGATAGCGATGTGATCTATTTGGGTCCAACGTTGGGATGAATTAGGGGGTCGCCATGTTAAAAGATGTTTTTCCTCATGCTTAAAGTAAGTGTTTGCAAGAAACAGGCGGTTATTTGAGCTTAGCTGCAACAGACGGTTGCCGTTATCTGTTCTTTGAGCCGCGACACCATAAGATCCATCCAGGTGTCTTTCCCTTTCGCTTAGTTTACCTAGTTGAGCATTAAATTCACCAGCCACTATTACTACATCTGAACGTCTAGCTTTTCGGAGGTCGTAAAGTTTTCTGTAAAACTCATCTTTTACATCATCTGAGCTGCAGTCAGTGGGAGAGTAGGCAGAGACGACGAAGAGGCAACGACGAGTGTCCCTATCTTTTCGAGTCCTTACTGTTCCGTTTAGTCGGACAGCACACAAACGACTGTCTACTGGGATCCAGTCTAAGAGAGCTAGTTCTGCCCTAGGACTCAATGCTATACCCACGCCAGTGAGGCCACGGGAAGCAGCATCAGGGCTTCCAGATACACGAAGCGTAAATCGAGTTGGTTCGTTACTTTGACATGGTGAGGTCAAATGAATGACACTACTAGGATCCTGTGTGCGCGTTTCGGAGACGCAGCACACATCGATGGAGCGAGATTCTAAAGTCTTAGCTAAGGAAGCCTGTTGTCCTATTTGGCACAGTGTTCGGACGTTGAAAGCTCCTACGTGTAGTTTAGAGCGTGGTTTCAGGAGACCAGGAATAACATTCCGCGTACTCGAATCGTTCGCACTAGCGGGGCGAGGTGATAAAGGGACGTGAGAAGGGTTAGTCGTGGAGATAAGAGAGTTATTAGGAGGTGTAGGAAGGATTTGAATGTGACCAACTTGGTCTCGTGTGCTGTTACGGGTATGAGGGCTGATATCACTTCCCGGTTGCCCACACCGTGGAAGGGTATTTCTTGAGGAACCTGAAAAGGAAATCAAATTAGTGTTGGTCTTAACGACCTGGGTGCGTAACCGCAGAGCCCAAGGGACAACTGCTTAAGGCCTGTCACGCACGGCCTTTTTGTGGAAGGTTTTTAATGCGTTAGCTCCGTTCTTCAAAGGGCCTTACCGCTGGAGACGGAAATCCGTGTGGTAAGGTGAGGTGTGACATTTTTAGGGTCAACCTTTTCTAACCCCTTCCTTTCTTGTGAGAAGGCAGCATCGCTGTAGATGCTGGTTGTCCGGGGGAAACACCTTACTGCTGTCACACCTCTGTACAGTCATCAGTACGACTTAGTAGTAGTAGTAGTAGTAGTAGTAGTGTTGGTAGTAGTAGTAGTAGTAGTAGCAGTAGTAATATTTGAATATCACTGCATACTTACAAATCAGTAATGATTTTAATTATTTACATCCCTATTTTTCCTTACATACTTCTATGAACATGTCCATGTGAACAGATACATGAATAGGAGACTATTCACACTTATGCACAATCATAGTTACATATAGAGGAAGATACAAGCAAACACTGTGAAACAATTTATTACTCTCTAGAGAGAGAGAGAGAGGGAACAAATAAAATTGTAATTACTTTGCTTTTTTTTTAAAAAAAAATAAATAAATAAATTCAATTATTCATAAATTATTTACATTGAAATGACATGGTTACAAAATAGGTAAACTACTGAACGTCATACAGTATGTTAGTACAAACACAGTCATCATTTTTGAAATGTATACAGTTGGATAATCATTATAAATTATATTATCTAGTAAATCTGTAGTGAACAAGAATACAACTACGGGAAAATCGGATGTATTTCAACACAATATTACAGAACATTTTAATAGTCTGAGAATCATAGATTAAATAAACAAAGATGGATAGTGGATAGCAATGGAATACAGTTTGACGCGCGTTTCGTCCTATTTAGGACTCGTCAGCTGGATGTAACTGCATCTCAGAGTTGATGTTCACTCTAAGACTCGAATCCAGTACCGTCCGCTTCAAACGTCATCGCGTTATCCACCTAGCTACTGAGTCCTGATAGCCACTTGCTTGTGCGGACGGTACTGGGTTTAAGTCCCGGAATGAACATCAACTCTGAGATGCAGGTACATCCAGCTGACGAGTCCCAAATAGAACGAAACGCGCGTCAAACTGGATTCCACTACTAGCCACTATCCATCTTTGCTTATAATGCTTATGAATTAAGGCGATATAGAGGCAATACGCATAGTATGCATATATGCCAATAAGAGACGGAAAAATTTCAGTCCTAAATATCAATGGGAAGATTCAAATAAAACAATATCAAGTGAATCATACATTAAATACTTCATTTGCAAAATATCCATCAATCGCCTCAGATTTCGTTGTCTTTTTCGTTTCCACGGCAACCATTCTATGTTCACGTTCTATTTTCTTTGATCTTCCTAACCTTCTGTTGCCAGGTATTTCACTTTCGATTGCTAGATTATATATACTACTTATATCTATCGATATCAGTAGTACACACTATAAACCAGTTAAAATTGTGCCCTAATAAATAACAATTTCGTTGTCATAATTGGGAATACTAATTTTTTTTAAAATATACAATAGAGTGAATTCCTTATGTTGTTCATTTCACGGCAGACTACTGACCAAAAATTTGATGACTTAAATCTTTAGCTGCTTATTTCAAACTAACGACGGATTAAAAAAAAATGAATTGCAAAGCATATCACTGATTAGTTTACAACCAATTATGAAAGCGTTAACGTGATCAGCATTATCAGAATAAGAATTGACGAAACAAGAGCCGCATTCCTACAGTTGAAGAACATATAGAACTCAAAACAACTGTCAATCAATATCAAAGTTGCAATCTTCAATACGAACGTCAAAACAGTTCTACTGTATGGAGCTGAAACTTAGAGAACTACAACAAAAACCATCAAGAAGGTACAAGAATTTATAAATAGCTATCTACACAAGATAGTCGACATCCATTGGCTGGATATCATCATCAACAGCCTACTATGGGAGAGAACAAATCAGCTTCCAATTGAAGAGGAAATTAGGAAAAGACGATGGAAATGAATAGGACATACATTGAGGAAATCATCAAACTGTATTACGACGCAAGCTCTAACATGGAATCCTGAAGGAAAGAGGAAAAGAGGAAGGTCAAAGAAAACATTCCATCAAGAAATAGAATCAGATATGAAAAGGATAAATAAGAACTGAAAAGAGCTGGAAAGGATTGTGTAGGACAAGGTTGGATAGATTATGCTGGTGAGCGGCCTATGCTCCTCTATAAGGAGTAACAGGCGTAAGTATGTAAGTATGTAAGTAATGATTACATCATGAAGAATTCATTTTTCAAGCTTATAAGTAACATTCATTATTGATCATTTACATGAATTGTCATCATCATCATCATCATCATCATCATCATTTATTTCATAAAAGCTTATCCAATTCAAAAATACTTATTATTACATGAATGCCATGGTTACTATCCTACATTTCAAAAAAAAAAAAATGAAAGAACGAATCAAAGAAAGAAAGAATAGCTTACCTGTTTTATCCTCTTCCTTATTGATAGTAATTTGAGTAGTATCATGATTGATTTGTGAAATGATTGATTTTAATATATCATATTTATTTAAGAAAACTAAAATATCTTTCTTTGTTAAATCTGGTGAATTGACAATATCTTCAAATAATTTAAATGTTTGATGATTAACCAACTAAATATGAAATCAGTAGTATAAATGATTCATGAAATAAAATAATAAAAGAAACAATAATTTAATTTCAATAGTTCAGATCATGAGTCAATTGAAACTAGACCACTATGGAAAAACTGAAAGTACTGGATGGCTGTTTCATCCTATTGTGGGACTCCTTAACAGTGCGCATCCATAACCCAACCTCATGAGATTCGAACCCAGGATTTATCCTTCTCGCGCCAGGCGTTTAACCAACTGATCTTAACTATTGAAATTACTACACTCTCCACAAAACCCGTTTTGTTAATAATTTAATCATTGAATTCATGAGTTTGTTGAAGCTAGATCATTATAGAAAACTTGAGCTGATAATTCTTCGGTTCGAATCCTTCGGGATGAGATCGTTGATCAGCATTGCTGAGCTGTTTCATACTAGAATGAAACAATGGTCTAGTGATTCCAGGTTTAAAGTATTTATAATCTATGGTTGTATATTTGTTTATCAATATAAATTGCATCATTTAAGTGCTAGAAAATGTTACATCATAATGTACAGTAGAGAAGACTTTAAAAATCAATAAAACTAAACAAGATTACCTAAGCTATTTTAGTAACTCCTAAGCTAAACCACTACGGTAACTTGAACACGAAAGAAAAAGTGTGTAACATGGAAAGAACGCTTTACTCCAAAGCTAGTTTATTTACAGAAAATTGAGAATATTTATAAGCTTTTAGATGGTCTTGGGTTATTGGAAAGTTCTGGAACTTTTCTAAACAATAGTAACTGGATAGATAATTAACTAATCAAAAATGTGATGCATAATTTTTCATTTTCTAAATGTTTCTGACAAAACTTCTATTGAATACTAATTGGATATAGAAGGTTTCTTCCTAGTACAGGACTCTTCAGCAGTGTGCATCCACGATCCCGTATATAGGACTCGAACCGAAAAACTTCGGTCTTGCGCGCAAACGTTTAACTTGTAGATTGTTGAGACAGCATACAAACAGATAATCAGAATGGGTTTTGTGGAGAATTGGTAATTTCAATAGTTGAAATCATGAATCAATTGAAGCTAGACCACCATGGAAAACCTGGAAGCACTGGACGGCCGTTTCGTACTAGTACGGGACTCCTCAGCAGTGCGCATCCACGATCCCGCACCCCGCGGGATTCGAACCCAGGACCTATCGGTCTCGCGCCAGGCGCCTAACCAACTAGACCACTGAGCCGCGTCCAACGGTGTTAATGTCTAACTTCAACTAATCCACGAAGTTGCGCCACCGTCACCATTGTCTTCAGTGAGCTGATATCTCACAACAGATCGTGGATGCGCACTGTTGAGGAGTCCCATACTAGGACGAAACGGCCGTCCAGTGCTTCCAGGTTTTCCATGGTGGTCTAGCTTCAATGGATTCATGATTTCAACCAGTGAAACAGATAATCGTTGAAATAAAATATTTATTACAGTAGTAGAAGAAAGATTAGTCATATTATCAAATACAGTTTATTCATTATTTTCAATCATGGAAATATATACGTTTTACAATATTTACACATAAAGTAGGCGATCTTTCTATAACTGTTGAGTAAACTACGAAATCCTTGTACTCTTCTGTCTGTTTTTAAAATAATAAACAGAAACCTCTTATTATTCACTGAATAGTAGTAGTCACTTTCAAGTTGTCTAACTAATCATTAGTACTCTGGATCAACTTAAGATTTTACAGCTAATTTAAGTGAATTGATATCACAGTGTACTTTATATCATACTGGCTGACGGAATTGATTGACAAGAAGTCATGAATATGGTACAGGCATGTTCTGTTACTTGAAATGTTTTGCCATTAGAATAACACATGTGTTATCACACTAATCATAACATTAAATAAAGTCGAATGAAATCCAAATGAGAGAACATCTGTTTTCTAAAGGTTGTAGATACTTACAGAATGGAATTTAAGCTGAACACTTACTAAAGGTGGTCACCAACCATCATACGATAAATCGATATTTACTAAGCCATTATCAAAACAATATTTGACACTATCATTCATTAAATTCACTTGTTGTTTTACTTGAAACTTTGCATTGACGTGTAGGATTGCAGTCTCTTATTGGCATATATACATTCTGTGCGGATTGCATCGATATCACTTTAAGTCACGAGTATTATAAACAAAGATTGATAGTGGTTAGCAATAGAATTCAGTACGCACGTCTCGTCCTATTTAGGACTCGTCAGCTGAATTTATCTGAATCTTAGTGTTGATTTCCACTATGGAACTCAAACCCAATACCGTTCGCTTCAAACGCTATCATGTTATCTACTTAGCGACTGAGTACTGATAGCCACTTGCTTGTATAATAAGATAAAATTGAAATTCACTAGATGTTGTTTACAAGAATAGGAAGATCCAAATACATCCAACTGACGAGTTCCAATTACGACGAAACACTTATCCTAGATTCCATTACAAGTCACTATATATCTTTGTTATTACTCACTAGTTTATAGTATTGTATACATCATAATGTGTAAATTATCTATATTAAACTAATGATTTCAATATAGAAATTATGATCTTGATCTAATGATGATTATTCAATCAAGTTTACAATGTTAAACAAGTAATAATAACACTTTAGACAATAATAATATTAACTTACTTTATTCCCTTGAATATAAGTGAATCGATAAACATCTTCAAGGGATATAAAAAACAAAATCATATTGACCGATTCAAAATAATGAAATTGTTTATTCAAATGTTCACTATGTTCACCTAGATTAATGGTTCTAGACAAAATATGAAACATTTAAAACAATCAAATATACAGATGATAAGGTTAGATAGAAACTAGACAAGTAAATCATACATAATAGGTATATATATATATGTATACATATATTCCTCCTTTCCTTTTTGTCAGGATAGTTCATGGGTGAACTCAAAGAAACTCTAAGAAGTTCAGAAAGAGTTGAAGATATTCTATCTAATCATCTATTAGAAGAATATTCTAGAATCCTTACGTGGAGATTCATTATTGGACAAATGCTAATAACCCCCCGCCCTTCGTGTATACGGATTGGAGGATTATAAATATCTGATAGTTTTCTATCATAATTGACACTGTTTGGTCTCATCAACTGGTTAACGCAAATGGTAGTGAGTTCAAGTTATCGGAGTGAATATCACCTCTGAGATGTAAGTACATTCAGTTGACGAGTGTCAAAATAAGATGAAATACGTATCCTGGATTCCAATACTAGCTACTATTCATCTTTCAATCGTTCATTTCATAGAATTCCTTCTCTATGTAAATTAATAAAAACTATCATAAGAAAAAAAAACTGATTTCAAATTGTGTTTTATTCCTTTTTCATAAAATGAAATGTAAAACAACAAAATCATAAAAAATTTGTTTATTTAAGTAGGTTGTTTAGTTGTACAGGAAATTGTTCGTTACATAACAACGTAATAATAATAATAATAATAATAATAGATGGATTCAGCAAGTCACATGAATTCAAATTCAAATTCATGCCAAGGTTATATTTTTTTGAATTCATTTAAATACATTTGGATGAAAGTATAATTTATGAGTGACCTTCAAGTGATGTCAGACTGACCTTGAGAGTATCCAACACATGAAGGTTATAAATCAGTGTAAGGAATTAAGATGATGACTTACAATTAATGATGAAAGTTGTGAATTAGATTTATGGTTTATCATTATGAATCGATATTAGTTATAATGTCAAAAGTTTATTTAGATAAATAGATGCATGAATTTCGCGCCAAAATTCATGATTTGTTATCTTAGATCTGATTGGTTGGTTTCGAAATGATTACTTACTTACACCTGTTACTCCTTATGGACCATAGACCACCGACCAGCATTCTCCGACCCACTCTGTCATGGGCCTTCTTTTGTAGTTCCATCCAATTCTTGTCCATTTTTCTTATGTCTGTTAACATTTCTCGAAGTAGTGTGTTCTTTGGTCTTCCTCTCCTCTTCATTTGGCCATGAAGATTCCATGTGGGGGCTTGTCTTGTGACGCAGTTCGGTGTATTCCTCACTGTATGTCCTCTCCAATTCCAACATTTTTTTTATTTCATACTCCACTGCGATCTTGTTCATTCTCTCCCATAGTAGGTCCGGTTAACGGATCTGAAGTATTTTGCGTAGACAACTGTTAATAAACACCTGTATATTCTGGATAATGGCTTTCGTAGTTCCCCAAGTTTCTGCTCCATACAGTAGAACTGTCTTGATATTTATATTGAAAATCCTGATTTTGGTGTTGAATGGAAGTTGTTTAGAGTTGTAGATGTTCTTCAGTTGTAAATATGCTCCTCTTGCTTTGCTGATCCGTGCGTTCACATCTGCATCAGATCCACCGTATTCATCAATGATGCTGCCCAAATATGTAAAGGTTTGTACATCTTCCAAATCTTCTCCGTCAATTGTGATTGGATTGGTGCATACTGTGTTGTATCGAAGAATCTTGCTTTTCCCTTCGTGTATATTGAGACCTATTGCTGCTGAGGCTGCAGCTACAATGGCCGTCTTCTCCTGCATTTCTTGTTGCGTTTGCGATAGAAGAGTCAGATCAACAGTGAAGTCTAGATCGTCCAACTGCATATTTGGTGTCCTCTGTATCCCGTGCTTCCCTTAAGATGTTGACATCTTCATGATCCATTCGATCACAAGGAGAAAGGGGAAAGGTGAGAGTAAGCAGCCATGCCTGACACCGGTCTTTACTTCGAACGACTTTGTCAACTGTCCTCCATGCACGATTTTGCAGTTTAATCCATCATAGGAATTCTGTATGATATTGACTATCTTCTCAGGCACTCCGTAATGTCGAAGAAGCTTCCATAGTGTTGTCTTATTCACGTCATCAAATGCTTTCTCATAGTCAATGAAGTTGATGTTCAGTCATGAATTTCATTCAATGGATTGTTCCACAATGATCCGTAATCTTACGATTAGGTGTGAACACGACCGATCCTTGCGGAATCCTGCCTTTTGATCTCGAAGTTGGGCGTCTACAGAGTCCTTCATCCTGTTTAACAATACCCTGATGAAGATTTTTCCTGGTATTGAGAGAAGAGTGATGTCCATGTAGTTATCACAGTTGCTGAGATCGCCTTTCTTTGATATTTTGACCAGAAGTTCTTTTTAATTATCTGATAATATTGAGATTAAATCTCTACTGAACAATCATATACACAGATAGGTTGAACTAATTGTATGAAAATAGTTATGATAGACTAATTACGTAATTGTAAAATAGTTTAAATGAGAACTTTCGTCTAAATTTGATTGAATAGTTTCACAGTATCTAGGCTCTGAGTTAATATGAGACATGAAAGAAGAAGAATGTTGTATTTGTGAAAATCTCAGCGAATGAATTTGACGTATTATCCAACGTTTCACGTGACAATCTTGTCTAAGCCAGTTCAAAGAAATATAATCAAACATCAAAATTATCGATAATGAATTCGCTGAGATCTTATAAATGCATTCTTCTTCTTCTTCTTCTTCCTTAATGTAAATTAGTTGTTTAAATACGTATGACTTTGGATTTTTAGTTTTCCTTTTGAATCCCCTCCCTCATAGCATGACAGATTGATTACCGCTTACAAATACACTGTTGTATATATATATATATATATGTCTTTGGTTGAAGTTAGACATAAATACAGTTAGATGCTGGCCGCCTCAGTGTTCTAGTGGTTAAGCGTTCGAACGTGAGACTTGTAGGTCCTGGGTTCGAATTTCATGAGGCTGGATCTTGGATGTGAACTTTTGTGGAGTCCCACAATAGGATAAATCGGCCATCCAGTACTTTCAGGTTTCCCATAATGTTCTAACTTCAATTGACTCATAATCTCAACTATTGAAATAGATGTACTACTTATAGTTATTATTGATTTATTCTAAAAATATCCATTAGATTACTATATGTGGATGATGAATTCTTGGAGAATTCAATGAATAGCTGTATAATTAAGGTTATCCCCAATGTAAATTATAAAATACGACAATCTTCATAAACCCCACATACTAACTACATTTAGGTGAACTATAAGCAAAAATAGACAGTGGCTAGCTGTGGGATCCAGTTTGACGCGCGTTTCGTCCTATTTGTGACTCGTCAGTTGGATGTACGTGTGTCTCAGAGTTGATGTTACTCTGCGAATCAAATCCAGTACCGTTCGCGTTATCCAACTGACGAGTCCAAAATAATACGAAAAGCACTTCCTGGATTCCACTGCTAGTCACTATCTATCTTTTCTTATAATACCTGTAAACTTAGGCTATATCAAGGCAATACACACAGTATGCACATATATCAATAAGAGACTGATCAATTGCAGCCCTAAACATTAATGGGAAGATTCAAATAAACACTATCATGTGAATGTACCTGAACTGTTTGTTTTATTGGAGTTATCTGATTTTTTTATAACGCTTGACAATGATCATTTCCTAAGATGTATTCAATATATACCTAAGAAACTATATATATCAGTAAAGATACAAGAAATTTATAAGCTTCATTTGATATATATATATATATATATATATATATATATATATATATATGACCTTGAAATGCCTACTTAAAATAAACCTAGTAGAAACCATTCAGTCAAAAAAAACGCTTGTCAAACCTTGAACCCCTTAGTTTTGAGACACACTTAGGAGTAATGTGATTAGTTATCAGATTTCCTATGACAAAAACTATATTAGTATAGTGACTTAATTTGGACAATCATTGATTACCTCAAAATTACATAAACCTTATGAAGGCTCTTTACTCGAACACTACCAATCGAGTCAGAGCTTATGGCGAACTGTCGTCTGTTTTTTGCAACCTCAAGTAGTGTCCGTCAAGGTTTTCCACTTTCTCCATTTTTGTTTAACTTCATCATAGATTTACTGATAGAAATACGGCTCTCATTGACTGAATTCTCGGGCATTGATCTCCTAATAGGATGTCCATTTATCGATTTAAAATACGCAGATGATATAGTTCTGTTTGGTGAAGATGCTGATAAAATGCAAAGTCTTTTGGTAGCACTGAGCAACAATGCCAGAACGTTTGGAATGCGCTTCTCTCCCTCTAAATGCAAGTTGTTTCTCCAGAACTGGTCTTTGTCAACACCTGAACTAAGGATAGGGAATGAAGTAGTCGAACGCGTTGACAACTTCACTTATCTTAGGAGTCTCATCAGCTCTAATCGGTCAGTGTCTGATGAAATCTCAGCACGGATTCGAAAAGCTCGTTTGGCTTTTGCCAACTTACGTCATCTATGGCGAAGGCGAGATATCCGTCTATCAATTAAGGGAGAAGTATACTGCGCAGTAGTTCGTTCCGTTCTATTATACGGCTGTGAAACATGGCCTTTAAGAGTAGAAGATATTCGTAAGTTACTAGTATTTGATCACAAATGTATTGGAAATATTGCTCGCATCTCCTGAGATTATCGGGTAAGTAATAGTGAGATTACACACCAGGTATTAGCGAATGATTTTAAATCCGTTGATGAGGTTGCGAATCTTCATCGACTGAGATGGTTGAGCCACGTGTTGCATATGCCTGAACACTGATTACCACGACGCTCATTGCTGATTAGTGTTGGAGACGGCATATAGCATATATGTTAGGATTAATTCTCACAATGTGTTTCTTAGCTAACAACATTACATTATGAAAAAGAATAGTTATGTAATCTGAGTAGCATCATTGATGAACAGGGTGGATCTGATGCAGATGTGAACGCACGGATCAGCAAAGCAAGAGGAGCATATTTACAACTGAAGAACATCTACAACTCTAAACAACTTCCATTCAACACCAAAATCAGGATTTTCAATATAAATATCAAGACAGTTCTACTGTATGGAGCAGAAACTTGGGGAACTACGAAAGCCATTATCCAGAATATACAGGTGTTTATTAACAGTTGTCTACGCAAAATACTTCAGATCCGTTAGCCAGACAATATCAGCAACAACCTACTATAGGAGAGAACAAATCAGATTCCAGTGGAGGAAGAAATCAGAAAGAAGCACTGTAAGTCGATAGGATACACATTGAGGAAAGTACCCAACTGTGTCATAAGCCAAGCCTTCACATGGAATCCTCAAGGTCGGAGGTGAAGAGAAAGACCACAGAACACATTATGTTGGGAAATGTAGATAAACATGAGAAAAATGAACAAGAATAGGATGAAACTAGAAAAGTAGTCCCAGGATAGAGTGGATTGGAGAATGCTGATTGACAACCTATGGTCCATTAGGAGTAAGTAAGTAATATAATCTTTAAATTTGATATACAAATCATAAATCAATAATATCATAAACATTAATCAATAAAAAGTAAATAAATTTATAATCATTTTATTTACCTTAATGTTATTGATCCAATAGAGATAAGAGATTCTCTGACAGCTTTTGATGATTGTTTCATAATCAATAAATCTTGTAATGTAGGTATATAATCATCTTGAATTATTCTATCCACACATTTAATAAAGCTATAAATTATATTAATTGAATATAGAATGGTGAATAAAACATAGTTGTTAAAAATAAGAAGGTTCTCTATTGATTAAATGACTTTAAGAAATACATCAAATAGGAATAATCTATATAAGAATTGAATAGAAGGAAACATTTAATTTTAATCTCTATCCTTAATGATTGAATATATGTGCTCCAAGTGACAGATTTCTTCGTGGAGCTTTCAATAGATCTATCATTCTTGGATAATATTAAACATAAACTCTCATTATAACCCATATTAATGAACATGTATAAAGTTGCTTTTACATATAAACTCATCTTAGAGGAGTATCTTTTGTAGTTCTTATAATAAACTGAAATAATCAATAGATGAATCTTATTAATTCCAATCACTTAACTTCATTAAAATTATCTTTTAAAATTATGGATACAATCGAATAAGTAAGTTAAAAAGAAGGTTCAAAATAATAGAAGTAATCACTTGTTCTATTCCAATTCATTCGTTAATTGTTAAATTTGAAGCGGTTACAAACGGAACAAAGGCTAGATGACCAAAGATTATTAAACTAGATATTCGATGCGTTCCAGTCTAGCTAAGTAAAGGCCCCCAAATGCCCTGGTACGGCCGAGAGTGGGGAGAGTCCGCTATCGATCTCGAAATGCTCTCACATGGCCATGCGTATATAGCCTCTGCCAGGGAAGTCCTAATCACTGCCTTCTCGTGGCGGGGGTGTTGTTTACAAAAATGAGAGGACGAAAAGCGAATGTCTGGCGCTTTAACCGGACCCAAAACCAATGGTGCACATGGGCTCCAGTATCCTGCGGGAACAAATGGCGTATGAACCAATCGTTGGTCACCGGCTACCATGGGACTGCATCTCCTCACGATGCTCCACTGCCTTGTGGGTCAGACGTTCAGATCGAAAGCTCGGGGTGTGGCCCCCTAAGAAAACCACCTGTATCGGTTTGGTCACCCGGGCAGTATCACAGCCCTCACACAAATCAATTGAGATCTGTGTAGCGCATATGTAGTTGGTGCCTCCCTGTACCTATACTTATGTGTTAAAATAAAATAAAATAAGTCTAGCTAAGTAAAGGTAAAAGTCCAATCTTGGAATGGAGAAGTATATATTCTGCAAACAGCCAGAAATAATCGATAACAACAAACACAAATCAAAACGTATATATACAGTACAATACCATCCTTAGGGAGAGTTACCAAATACCATACTAAAAGGCGTAACGTATCAATAGCATTTAAGATATTTTCCGAATTGGGAAATACAACATGAAGGTGAAAAGAGCGCTTTTGGCGTGAAAACAAAGAAATTCAAATTTTCTAAATAAAATAATAAAAATGGATCTTTTTCCAAAGGAGTTTTGAGGATCTAACGTCCCCTACATTAATATTTCTCATATCAATATCATATACATGTTAAGATCATGATTGTTTAAAACATTTAAGTAATATTCATAGAATTTCGCGTTAACTTTTACTTTTATGTTTAACATGATTATTGATGTTTAACAACCTAACGATAACCACATGTTCATTGTCAAATTGACAATCTTCTTTCTATTAAGATAAACTTCATCTAGTTAGCAAAGATGGATAGTGGCTAACAGTGGAATCCAGGACGCGCGTTTTGTCCTATTTGGTACTCGTCAGCTGGATGTAACTGCATCTTAGAGTTGATTTTCACCAATATGAGAGACTGATCAATTGCAGTCCTAAACATCAATGGGAAGATTCAACTAAAACAATATCAAGTGACTCATCTAGTTAGGTTTAACCATTTTAGATAAACTTACTAATCGTTATACGATCAGTCTAACTCAAAGCTAAATAGTTAAAATCTTTCCTTGGTTAATGAGTTATATTAACGTTATAGTTATTCAATAGCACATCTATTAATGACCTACTATTACCGTAATTTTCTGCTCATCCAACCCTGTCCTAAGCAATCCTTTCCAGTTCTTTCTAGTTGTTATTCTTTTTTTTTCATATTTGCTTCCATTTTCAGACGTAATGTGTTCTTTGGTCTTTCGCTTATCTGTTTTCTTTCAGGATTCCAAATTAGAGCTTACCTCGTGACGATGATAATACTATCATGAAATTTCTGTGTAATAGTATGTAATATTCAGTGGATGTTAGTTTTCATTTATATTAAATGTAATGAAAAGTATAATATATTAATTTAGTAGTTGGATTCATGAATAAATTAAAGGTAGACTACCATGGAAAACCTGGAAGCGCTGGACGGCCGTTTCATCCTAGTATGGGACTCCTTAATAGGGTATGTTTACGACACCGCTCACAGGATTCTAATCCAGAACTTATCAGTCTTGAGCACTAACGCTTAACCTCTAGACCACTGAGCCTACCAGTATCTAACGGTGTTAATGACTAACTTCAATCAATTCACGAAATGGTGCCACCGTCCACCATTGCCTCCAGTCACTTACTATCTGAAAACAGATCCAGTTGAACTCCACTGGTCACGGCTTCTCACGAAAACTTCAGGAAATACCTCTTGAAGCTAGTCACTAGTGAGCACATGACGATTATTATCAGAAAGTGGTTTTGTGGAAATTTTAGTAATTCAATATTTCAACGGTGGCACCATTTCATGGATTGGTTGAAATTACATATTAACACCGTTGTATACCAGCTCAGTGGTCTGGACGTTAAGTGTTCGCATGAATGACCCAAAGTCATTGGTTCGATTCCCGTGAGTGGGATTATAGGTGTGCATGGTTGAAGTGTCTTATAGTAAGACGAAACGGCCATCTAATGTTTCGGGATTTTCCATGGTGGTCTAGCTATAATTAATTCATAAATTCAACTGTTAAATTACTACAACCTCCACAAGACCCCTTTCTTATTTAATGTATTACATTGTATATACAACGTATTCATTGCGTTAATCATCCATTATAAACTTGAATTATTCATTTGACTTACAAATATTTTTATTAAAATGCTTATTTATTATTTATTTTAACACTAAGATGTTGGTACAAGAAGGCACCAAATACATATGCGCCACACAGATCTCATTTGATATGTGTGAGGGATGTGATACTGCGCGGGTGCCGAGACCGAAGCAGGTGGTTGTCTTAGGAAGCCACACCCGGAGCCTTTGACCTGAAGATCTGATCCACAAGGCAGTGGAGCATCGTAAGGAGATGCAGTCCAGTCCCATGGTAGCCTTGATCAACGATTGGTTCATACGCAATTTGCTCCCGCAGGATACTGGAGCCCATGTGCACCATTGGTTTGGGATCCGGTTAAAGCGCCGGACATTCGCTTTTTGTCCTCTCATTTTCGTAAACAACAGTAATGCCACGAGAAGGCAGTGAATAGGACTTCCCTGGCAGAGGCTGTATACGCGTGGCCATGTAAAGCATTTCGAGATCGATAGCGGACTCTCCCCACTCTCGGCCGTACCAGGGCATTTGGGGGCTATCAAGACATTTGTATTCATTGACATTTTGTGCTACTTATTATAATAATAAAGCTATTGAATATTGAAACAATCCAATGAATTCATTGTTAGAATTCGATATAAATCTTCATTCATTTTTGTGTTTTGAAAAATAAAATCAATAAAAATAACCCATATTTTGTAACTAACACAAACTATCATTCGTTGTTTATAATCACTATGCTAAATGATCAATAAACAACTCGTGAACAATTGTTTTACTGATTAGTATTCCTAAGAACAAGTACTGAATATTCAATACTATCTGTCTGTTATGTTTAAAGTGATCACTAGTTCACCTAGTCTGAGAACTCTGCGACACAGTCACTAGTCCCAGCCCCGTTGAACAGAGAGGCAGAGAGAGAGAGAGAGAACTCTACGTTCAAAATGGGGAAATATATTCCACAAGTAAATAGAAACATGAGTAACCATGACAGGCACAAATCAAAATATTTTATATTTTATAACTAACACAAACTATCTTTCCTTGTAAATAATCACTATGTTAAATGATCAATAAATAACCCATGGACAATTGTTTCAAATAGAAAATGTATTGACATATATACATGTATATAACCTTGAAAATTCAATACTAGCTGTCATTACTACGTTTTAACATCCACAACAACAACAATAATAATAATAATGATAAAACAATGTCTAAACTGGAACGAAAGAAGTTAATTCAAAGTGAAATAGTTTGTATTCTCCCCCCCCCATTCATAATAAAATTATATTTTAAACAAGAATAATAATAATAATAATATCAGAAGGGGGTTTGTGGAGATTTTGAAGCTAGACCACTATGGAAATCGTGGAAGTACTGGATGGCTGTTTCGTCCTAGTATGAGACTCTTCAACAGTACCTATCCACGATAACCAATAATCATAAGATGATGAATGAATATGCCCAATTGTATAGATTACTTTCATCAATTACGTAATTGTTTTTTTCTTTTTTTGGAAGGTTTTCTTATTACATATTCTCTTGAGAGATATAAATGTTATATTATGTCATTCCTTGTATCATAACAATAATATACCATTTACATAATAGTAATTTTGATTTATTCTAACACATGACATACTTGTAATGAAAATATCTAATTTGAAAGTCATAAAATGAATACAAAAATACATTGTAAATTCATTTAGGATTGTATCTTACCATTGGTGTTTAAGACTTTACTTGAACAAACTCTTAGTGACATATAGGCATGTTGTAAGGATTACTCTGATATTAACTTAATTTCAATAGTTGAAATCATAAAATCAATTGAAGCTAGACCACTATGAAAAACCTGAATGCACTAGACGGCCGTTTCGTCCTAGTGTGTTGTATGCTACTTATATTGATATAAGTAGTATATAATGTTAGTCGTGAACAGAATGTCTGGCAGTAGAGAGACAAAAAGATCGAATAGTGAAGAATGAAAACAGAACGCAATTTGTATGAAAATGCAAGAACAAAGGAAATCTGAGTCATTTTGAGTCAATCAAACATTTACTTTATGGTTGTTAGATTTTAAATAACACGTCCGGTAATTGTGCGTTGAATACATTCGATCGTCCTCACCCGTGTCCTGTTCACTACACTAGTATGAGACTCCTCCTTGGCAATGCGCACCCACGGTCTCACTACCCGCAAGATTCGAACCCAGGACTTATCAGTTTCGCGCGTGAGCACCATAAAACCTTAATTCTCAAACATTTTTAAACAAAGATGGATAGTGGTTAGCGATGGAATTCAAGATGTGTGTTTCGTCCCATTTAGGACTTGTCAGTTGGATGTATCTGTATCTCATTGCGGAACAAAACACGCGTCCTGAATTCCAATGCTAGATACTATCCATCTTTACGTATAATGCTTGTGAATTAAGGTAAAATCGAGGCAGGTAGAACAAGAACCAATCAACATCCTAGTCTACAGAACAAACTGTGAACCACGTGTGAGAAATTTGAACACTTCACTTCTACCTGAAGTTTGTGTTGATGATTTCATTCAGAAGAACGATGAAAGCTCCACGACCAAACCATCCAGCTCAGAGAACAAAACTCTATCAAAAGACTATCAACTTTCTAATCAAATCATTAATGAACGGAAGCATATAAACAAAAAAAGAAGATTATATAACCTGATCTCGAGGAATAATTCTAAAAACTTTCATCATTTTCTTCTTCTTAAATAGATCCCATTTCATTCCCCCACCTTTTTTATTCAATTAACCAATAAACATTATGACGAAACTATAATTTATGAACGAACCCATCAGGTATAAGATAACACGTCTCAGATTTTGGCGCGAAATTCACTCATCCTTTTGGTTAAATAAAGTTTTGACATTATAGTTGATATCAGTATGTAATGAAAACCCTGAATCTAATTCCTTACGTTAACCATCAACCATAAATCATAATTCGAATTCCTCACACTAATTTATAACCCTCCATTGGTGCTAGTTATTAGGCGGACACTCTCAAGGTCACTTGAGTGTCACTCAAAGGTCATCCATAAATTATAGTCTCACTAAAATTATTTTTTGTTTCCGACGAAAAATAAACACATACATACACACACACACACAAAAGAAAACTGAAAAAAATTACCATATGCTCACTAATAACAAGCTTCATGAGGGAATTCTCAGTGTTCTAATGAAAAGCCTTAATCAATGGAGACAATCCATATCTAGTCAAGACAGATATCTACCTCAGAACAATGAAAGTTTGTTTAAATTCAAAAATTCACACCGTTAATCCAAAAGTTAAACGCTCGCATACAAGACTAGACTGAAAGCCATTTAGTTCAAATCCCATAGGGGTGAAATCATGAATGCTCATTGTTAAAGAATCCTACAATAGGACGAAACAGCCATCCAATACTACTATCAATCAGTACATGATCTTAATCAATACAATTCAATATAAAACTAATAATATGAAGAAAAAAAAACACAAAAAAAAACATGATTATCATTGACTTACTATGAACCAGCATACACACACACACACACAAAAGAAAACTGCTCACTAATAACTAGCTTCGTGAGGGAATTCTCAGTGTTCTAGTGAGAAGCCTTAATCAGTGAAGATAATCCGTGTCGGGTAAAGACAGATATCTACCTCAATACAATGGAAGTTCTTAGTTGATAAATTTTGTGGATTGTTTAAAGTTAGACATTTACAGCGCGCTCGCACGCTAGACCAAACTGAAGTTCATTTTGTTCAAATCCCAGGAGGTGAGATCTCAAATGCTCACTATTACAGAATCCTAAAATAGAACGAAACAACCATCCAGTACTTCTAGATTTTCAACATTAATCTACTATCAATCAATACATGATCTTAATCAATACAATTCAATATAAAACTAATAATATGAAGAAAAAAAAACCTGATTATCATTGACTTACTATGAACCAGCATAGGTTTTTTGTGATAGAATTGGATAATATTGTAAAAATGCATTACGAAATTCACATTGATCTGTAATAATTTTCATTATAATTTGTAATGAATTTAATGAAATTTTATGCTTTAATTCATTTCTATTCAATAATTGATCTAATGAAAATTCTAATAAATTAAAATTACTATTTAATTCTATATAATTTTGATGATTTACATAGAATTGATTATGATGATCTAGATCTAAAAAGAAAAAAGAAAAAAGGAAAAGAAAAGAAAAGAAAAAAAGAAAAGAAAAGAAAAGAAAAGAAAAAATCAATAGATATGATTCGAATATGGGATTATGAATGTAAGTGTTAGCTACTACTACTACTACTACTACATCATTGTTGAGAAGCTGGAAGAACTGGATGATTGTTTTGTCTTTGGATGTGACTTTTTAGAAGTGTGCATTTATAATCCTGCATTCAGGGATCGAAGTTAGGAGGTTCATTCTCATGCACGAATGCTTAACCTGTAGGTCTTTGAGCCGACTGGTATCCAACAATGTTAATGTCTAACGTCAACTAATCCACGAAATTGCGTGACCACGTTCAATTGTACTGATGTAAATACCTGTCTATACCCGATACGGATTAACGCAACTAGTCACGGCTTCTCACTAAAACTCTGGGAAATACCTCTTGAAGCCAGTCACTAGTGAGCACATCATGATTATTATCAGAAAATGGTTTTGTGGAGATTTCAATAATTTAATAGTTGAACGGTGGAGCAATTTCGTGGATTGGTTGACGTTAGACATTAACACAGGGTTAGTCCAATCCATAAAATTGTGCATTTATTTTCTATTGTACTGAGGTAAATACCTGTCTATACCCGGCACGGATAAGCTCTACTGGTGATGGTTTCTCAATAGAACTCCGAGAATTCCCTTACGATGCTAGTCACTAGTGAGCAAACGGTAATTATCAGGATGGGGAGTCTTATATTAGGACGAAACGGCCATCTACTACTTCCAGCTTTTCAATAATGGTCTAATAGTGATCAAATCACATCTCTGATCCACTTACACACAATTTACACAATGTGTTATCTTAACACACTTTTCGTGATACAAGTTACATGTATCCCATACACAAAACAGTAAATACTTACTTCAATTATTGTTAACATGATTGGATGACCTACTTGGTATATAGTTAATTACAGAACCATTTGCCAATTTATATTCGATAATTTTGATGTTTGAAAAGGTTTTTACCAGATTGTCAAGTAAAACGTTGGATTTAATCGTAGAAATTTTATATGATTAGACATTAACACCTCTGGATACCGCCCGGCTCAGTGGTTTAATGGTTAAGTGTTCTCGTGAGAGACTGTTAAGTCCTTAGTTCAAATCTCACGAGGCCGGATCGTGGATACGCACTGTTAAGGAGTCCCGCAGTAGGATCAAACGGCCTTCCAATGATTCCACGTTTTCCCTGGTGGTCTAGCTTCAAATGACTTATAGTTTAAACTATTAAAATTACTATAATATCCACGAAACCTCTTCTCAACCAAATGACACATTCTATGAGAGACGACTAATGTTTATAAAAAATTACAGTAAAATTATTGAAGAACTAATAATACTCACTTTTATTTCTACGTTTTGTATTGATTGATAATTTTCTAATTGATTTACAAACGAGACCATCTTCTGTTTTAAGATTATCCCAATTCTCGTTTAGACTACTTCTCTCTTCATCATCATCATCATCATCAACATCCTCATCATCATCTTCATTATAGTTGATAAATTCATCCAAATCTAAAAGATCTGAAGTACTTTTAACCAAAGTTCTTGCTAAAGAACAATTAGAAGAATTGACTAATCCACTTTGTGTATGATCTCTCTCATGATCATGATCATGATCATGATCATGATCATTGTCATGACCTTCTTCTTCTGAAGTATCACAACTATCATTACTTACAATATAATCTAATAATTCATCTTCAATAGATATTGGTGGTAATGTTTTAGGAATTGGTGGTGGTATAGATTGATATAATAAAAATGATGACCAATTATCAATACCACTTTGTAATAATATATGAATTAAATGATGTAATAATATTTTATTATCAATAATATTTTGCCAATTATCAATTGATTTTATATCAATAATTGATTCGAATTTTTTTAATACTGATGGTGGAATTGAATTATTTTCATGAATATAATATAGAAATTTTTCAACAATAGAATCAGTTATACTATCAGTATTGATATTATTATTATTATCATCAGTAGTAGTAGTAGTACTACTACTACTACTAATAGTAGTATTAGTAGTATTAGTGGACACAGTAGTAGTAGTAGTGTTGGTAGTAGTAGTAGTATTGAATGAAGAATGTATACAAGAGTTATATGTTTCCATAGTTACATCATGAATTTTATTGAAAGAATTATGTATATTACTTAAATATTGTTGACTAGTTGATTGATTGATTGATTCTGTCAATGAAGAAGCTAATGTTGTTGACATTGTAAAACTTGGTAAACTTGAACTCGTGATTATACTATTCTGTTGATTAAAATGATTTGAATAAGGATTAGAATAAGATGGATAATTGAAATATTCCATATCATGATTTAGTTTTGTTTTAAATGATGATTCTTCACGTTTAAATATCTGATCATTAATATTGTTAATAGTAGTTGTATATTTTTCATCGAACAGTATAAAATCTTTTGTGATCCATCCATTTTCTGATCGACTATTCACTAAATATTCTTGAAGTTTCTAAAGATATAGTAAAAGAACTTGAAGTTATTCAAGTAAAACATCAGTTGTGACAATATTAGATAAGTAAATTAGAAGTAAGACGGATATCATTCAATATTATCGGTATAGAGTTGTAAAGATGATTAACTTATTGATTGAGATCATAAATCGATTGATGTTAGACTACCATGGGAAACCTGGAAGCTCTGGATGACTGTTTCGTCCTATTGTAGAACTCTTGCGTGTAGGATTTGAACCAAAAGCCTTCAGTCTCGTGCGCGAACACAACCTCTAGAACATTGAGCCGGATGACATCCAACGGTGTTAATATCTAACTTCAAACAATCCACAGAGTTAGATATCTGTCTCTACCCGACATGGATTATCTTCATTGATTAAGCCTTCTCACTAGAACATTGAGAATTCCCTCATGAAGCTAGTTATTAGTGAGCACATGGTGATTATCAATATTATTAACTAATTAAGATCAGTGGTATAAAGCTACCTGATCTTTAAAAGTTACCTTAATGTAATCAATCAGTAGTGCAAAATTTTCTTCAAATATATTTTTTAAAAATATATAAATTTCGCAGTTGTAAATCGTCAAAGTAGATGATCTATGTCGAATGATTGGAGGCTTACTCGAGTTAGAGAGAAATGGTATGACGAACTAGCTAACTACGAAATCACACTTTGTGATCAGTATCTAAGGTGGATTACCCCTTCGATGTATCAAATTACTATGGCTGATTTAAAGACCGTATAACACAAAGGATGTTATTAAGGAAATATATTAATAAGAGTGAGTACAGAGAAAATAGCGAGACCCCTACCGCATTGACCAGTCCATGGGATACGATTAACTGATGCTCATTGATTGCCCTTGACCTTCACAGGGATCGATGATCTGTTCGATATTCAGTGACCCAACAGCCGAATGATTTGGCTAGAACTCAGTGGTATTTCACTGACCTTACACAGTAAGAACAAATACCAGTGTATTAGGTTCACTTAACACTTTATCGATCGTTTTCGACCATTTATTGTCCTATCTGATAGAAACTAATCGTCAACAGTTCGCTACATTAGTCAAAATTTTATCTTTACTTCCCTCCCCCATACATAAAGGGAGGAGCAACATTCTCAAATACAACACAGAGAACACCAACTTAGTCACACATGATGAAGAACCTTTGGAAGATAGGAAATCTTTCACATATCTATGCACCATCATCGATGAATAAGCAGGATCTAATGTAATACATAAAGGCAAAGACTGGCAAAGTAAAGGTAGCATTCCTATAGTTCAAGAATATGTGGGACTCGAAACAACTATCGACCAGTATTAAAGTGATAATCTTCTAATCAAACGTGAAGATAGTTGAAACTTTGAGAACTACCATAACCATAATCGAAACAGTACAAGTATTTATAAATAACCATCAACTCAAGATACTCCTAATTACACAGTCTTACCTATAGAAGAATTATATAATCACATCTGCTACAAACCTCTTCATAACATAAATGCTTACTCATTTAAGCCTGTTACTCCTTATGTAGGAGCATAGGCTACCCACCTGCACTCTCAATCTAACTCTGTCCTAGGCAATCTTTTCCAGTTGTTTAACATGGATACTAGATGGTAATAATCTTTGAATTCCACTTGTAAAAAGTAAACAGAAACTTGTTATCCTACACTTGATTGACTAGTCAATATAGTAATGATTAACTCCCCTTCTTTCCCCAAGAAAAACAATAAGGAATATATATATATATGTATATATATATATATACAAATATTGATTTACTTACATGAGCCAAAACATCAGAAAAAACAATATTAGCATCTTTCATATATTCTAAGACCATAGCAATAGCATCAGTGGTATTGGCTAATATAGTTGATTTCATTTCATTACGATATGATACAGGGAAACCATCACCGAAATGTAGACGCATTTGTTTACAAAATGTATTTTTACCAGAATTTGGTAGACCTAAAAATTTTGTTTTATTTATAATAATCAAAGAATAAAGTTATTTCATTTAAAATATAATGAAAAAAGTTGGACATTAACATCGTTGGATACTGATTCGGTGGTCTAGAATTTAAGTGTCCGTGCATGAGACCCAAAGTCCTGTGTTCGAGTCCCGCATGCAGGATCTTAGATGTGCACTGATGAAGAGTCTCATACTGGGAAGAAATGGCCGTTCAGTGTTTTCACGTTTTCAATGATGGTCTAATACCGATCCATTCATGATATCAATCTAAACTTAACAATCTTCACAACCCTATACTATACCAAAACTTTTTAAGCGGTCAAAAAAACAATAATGACTATGAAATGCATCTATCTAACTACTTCTATTTTATACATTGTTGTGTTTATATTAAATTGTAATCATCTTATAGTATCGTTTTTCTACTGCCCACATTCAAATGCAACATTGTACATATTTGGGACACTCACGAACATCACGACATTCAATAGACCATAGTTCTAAACGTGTTATAATCATTGATTCACTTCTTCGCCTATTATTTAATGAAGTCAACATGTGGCTACAAATTGAGAAAGAGAGATAGTTAAACTAATACTATGGTACCTCAAAACTCAGTCCAATCAATCAGTAATTGTAATAATATCAACCCAATTCACAAGAGACCATAAACAGCAGTCATTTAGTATTAAAAAAAAGTGATAACATGACAAGTAAAAAAGAATCACATATTTTGATTCTTATATATAATGAGCGATAGCCATAGTCATCAGTTAGTGAGGTTTAACATAAATCCTGTCAAAAATATACGGTAGCCTAAGTTATCATACTCCTCATGTAGAATCCTCAAGGTCGAAGGAGGAGAGGAAGACCAAAGAACATATTACGCCGGGAAATGGAGATAGACATGAGATAAGAAGGCCCAGGACAGAGTGGATTGGAGAATGCTGGTCGGAGGCCTATGCTCCATTAAGAGTAACAGGCTTAAGTAAGTAAGTTATTATACTAAAGATGGATAACAAGATGAATGCAAAGAATCGAAATGATGATAATAGTGAAAACGGTGGTGATAAAGATTACAAATTCGATCCAAGTAGAAGGGATCAATTTAGGAAAAACGAGATATGAAATAATATCCAAATTCAATATCTAGAAGAAGGTAAAGAATGAGACTATTCGGGTGAATGTGATCGTTTCTAAAAATCTCGCGTCAGTAATGGCGGTTATCGAGCAGACACCAATCTAGTCGTAGGGATCTGTCAACTGTTATACAGTTCATCAGTCGATGATTTACAAGATTAATCCCATTTTTTGATTAGCGTATTCTTAGTTTGCTTTCACCTCATTCATGCTCCAGCCAAAATTGTGCATTTAGGTAGGCAGTGGTTAAACACACGTAACATACATCCCATTGATTTCATTCGAAGAAGACTCACAACTTCACCAACCAATTCGCCATCTTTTCCTACACCTAATATCACCATTACTCTCTCGGTGGTCATAATATGCCTTATTAAGGCTTTGAAGGTATATATGATCAAGAAATAGTAACTTAAAAATGCCCTCACTGTTTCACAACTATAAAGTACTACACATCGAATCATCGCACAGTATATTGTCTCATTGATTAGCAGATCAACATCGCACTTACCCCATAGATGAACCAAGTTCGGAAAACTCAATGACTGTGTAAATTATTGTCGAGATTTCGTCAAACACCAACTATCTCAGGTTCATGATACTCTCAAAACAAGTGAAATAAACAACGCACTCAGTTACTTTATTCTTTGCAATCAATCTAGGTTATGATGAAAATCAGTCCTGAAGCAATATTTCGCATTTACAATAATAGAAACATATTCCAAACATTGTTTTATTGTTATTATTCAAAGCTAACAGTATATTATGTATAATTTTTAATGGATTAGTTACATTATAGTCACCTTATAACAGAATATAAATGAAGTTACTCAGTATTACAAATGATCAATAAGATAATTGTATAAGCAAGATATTTTGGGCGAACCAATCTTACTTACTTACGCTTGTTACTCCTCGTGGAGGAGCATAGTCCAACCACCAGCATAATCTATCCAACCCTGTCCCAACCAATCCTTTCCAGCTCCTTCCAGTTCTTATTCATCCCTTTCATATCTACTTCTATTTCCCGACGTAATGTGTTCTTTAACCTTCCACTTTTCCGCTTCCCTTCACGATTCCAAGTTAGGACATGTCTCGTGATGCAGTTTGATGATTTCCTCAATGTATGTCCTATCCATTTCCATCGTTTTTCTTAATTACCTCTTCAGTTGGAAGCAGATTTCAATGGTTATGATCATCAGTCAGTTGAAGCTAGACCACCATGGAAAACCTGGAAGCACTGGGTGGCCGTTTCGTCCTATTGTGTGACTCCACAGAAGTGCGTATACACGACCTTTACCCCTGTGAGATTCGAACCCAGGACCTACAGGTTTCGCGCGCGAGCACTTAAACAGTAGGCAACTGAGCCGGCCGGCATCCAATGGTGTTAATGTCTAATTTCAACTAACCCAGAAAATTGAGCGACGCATCCAACATTGTCTAAAGTGAGTTACTATCTCACAACAGACCTGGTTGAACTCCACTGGTCACTACTTCTCACTAGAACTCCAGGATATACCTCTTGAAGCCAGTCACTAGTAAGCATATGTTGATTAATATCAGAATGGGTTTTGTGGAAATTGTAGTAATTTCAATGGTTTCAATGGTTTGATCTCCCTCACAATAAGATGTTGCTGATAGTATCTGGCCAATGGATGTTGAGTATCATACGTAGACAACTATTTATAAATACTTGTACCTCCCTAATGATGGTTGTAGTGGTTCTCCAAATTCCAGCTCCGTACAGTAGAACTATCTTCACGTCCGCATAGAAGATTGTGACATCGATATTGGTAGATAGTTGTTTTGAGTTTCACAGGTTCTTCAAACGAACCAATCAGGTATAAGTTCACACATTTTGGATTTTGGCGCAAAATTCACTCATCCATTTGGGTAAACAGATTTATGGTATTATAGCTAATGTCAGTTCGTGATAAAAAAAACAACCCTAAATCTAATTCCTAACCCTTAACTATCAACTGTAAATCATATTTCGAATTCCTTACACTGATTTAGAACCATCATTTGATCCTAGTTACTAAGTGGACACTCTCAAGGTCACTTGAGTATCAACCAAATATCATTCATAAATTATAATCTCACCAGCATTTATTTATTTGAAGGATGTAAGAACCTTTACATATCTGCATAGCATCATTGATGAACACGGAAGATCTGATGGAGATATGAAGGCGCGAATCGGTGAAGCAAGAGGAGCATATTTACAACTGAAGAATATCTACAACTCAAAACAACTGTATGTCAACCAACACCAAGGTCAGGATTTTCAATACATACGTCAAGAAAGTTCTACTGTATAGAAATGAAACCTGGAGAACTACGAAAGCAATCATCCACAAGATACAAGTGTTTATAAAACAGTTGTCTACGCAAAATACTTCGGATCTAATGACCAGACATTATCAGCAACAATCTAATATGTGAAAGAACATATCAGATTCCATTGGAGGAAGAATAGGACATATATTGAGGAAAGCAGCCAACTGAGTCACAAGACAAGCTCTCACATAAAATCCTCAAGATCAAAGGAAAAGAGAAAGACCAAAGCACACATTACACCATAAGATCAAGACAGACATGAAAAAAAATGAACAAGAATAGGATAGAACTAGAAATGAAGTTCTAGGACAGAGTGTATTGGAAAATGCTAGTCGATGGCCTATGTTCCATTGAGAGTAACAGGCGTAAATAAGCAATGTAAGTAATCATTTGTTTAGTAATATATTATTACTATCATAATCATTCTCTGGTGAAAACTATTTCGAAATCAATCAACTATTATTACAAATGAAAAATCACTTCATCAAAAGTGAAAACTATGACAAAATGAATAAAAATTTATCCGAAATTAAGAACAGTTACTTTTACAATTAATGTAATGGTATATACTACTAATAAATACTGAATACTTCATGTCCAACTATTAGAGCAAAATAAAATAAGAACCGTATTTTATGGAGTTAACAACAACAACAAAAAAAGAAAAAAAATGAGAGAGAGAGAGAGAGGGGGGAGAAACTGATGTAAATAAATCAGAAATAACTTTCCTAAAACATCATTTTTTTCTCTCCCATAATTTAGAAACAAGAATACACACGCACGCACACACACAACACTCACCCACACATATATATACACACATATATACACACAGACATACAGTCACATTCTAATTGTCCACACTTTTAGTTATAGAAACAAAAAAAAAATCGAAAATTGTGTTTTCATTTAAACAACAATCAAAGACCACACGAATATTACATAGTTACAAATGTATAATATTAGATAAACAATATAAACGGATAGTTTTTATCTAAGTATGGGGGGGGGGAGAAGGATAATGTAAAACGTCATAGAAACTAATGAAACTAATGATTTACACTTTTAATTAAATTGACCTTGAATTAAAAAAAAAAGATTGTTTATATTAAATAATATTTAAATTAATTAATTCAGTATGATAATTTGAATCATTGAGATCATGAGTTGATTGAAGCTAAACCACTATGGAAAACCTGGAAGTATTGGACAGCTGTTTCGTCCTATTGTAGGATTCCTTAACAGTGCGCAGTCAGTAACAACATAGAACTTCTTATGTACGTACATTAGTTCGAGTGAACATATCACATTTCTCGATTCAAATCCCATAGTGGTAGAGGTAATAAAAGTATAAGCAGCAATCGGAAGATTAGGGTTTGAAGATGTTATTCAAGGAGTATAATCCAGTGGAATAGATTTGGAAAGAAAATAAAGAACATGAAGAATTCAGAAGATTAGAATTTGAGAGAACACAGAGAGTGGATGCACCTGCGGCATTGCAAACGATTTTGAGCCATGTCATTCAAGATCTCTAATCATCGTTTGCTATCATCTCGCGGATCCCCGGTACCAGGTAGTCTACACTTACCAACATGAGTCAGTCCACTTGTCAATGACTTGATGCATTTGTGTCACGTTCTGGTCTGGTCGCCCCTAGCTTTCTTCCAACCTACTCCTATACCATAAAACATTGCTCGTCGGGGCAGCCGGTGGTTTGGCATACGTAACACATGTCCTAGCCACATTTGGATATTTGGTAAATACAGAAGGAACGAGATTAAGCGAAGAATTTTCTTTTCAATTAGTTTTTCATCATGGCTCTACACTAATATCTATATATCTATATGATCTACAATAATGATATAATACTCATTGAGTGGATACATTACATAATAATTACATAATGACATTTAAATTAACATCGAGTAGTTTGAAAGAAAGATGATTATTAATAATCGAATGTATTTGACACAAAATTACAGGACTTATTATTTAAGATCTAACAATCATATAGTAAATGCTTAGTTTGTAAAATGACCATCAATTGTCTCAAAATGACTCAGTATTCATTGATCCTGCATTTTCACATAAATCGCCTACTGTTTCCATTCTTTACTATTCGATCCTCTTGTCTCTCTGCTGCCAGACATTCTGTTCACGACTAACATTATATACTACTTATGTCAATATAAGTAGTACACACCAACTACTACTACTACCACTACCACCACCACCACCACCACTACTACTACTACTAATACTACCACTACCACTACTACTACTACTACTATTATTACTATTAAGTAGTACCAATAATAACTTACCAATTAAAAGTAATTGAATTTCTTTTTTACGATGTTCATATTCTTGTAATAAAAATTTGTCAATTTTATGACTATGATATCTGGAACGTTTACGAGTTAATTCTTTATTCATTTAAGAATTATCATATAGAATATAGTTAATATTCATGATTTTTATATTACTATACTGTTACTGATTACTTTTGTTCTATTTAAGTAATATCAATTTGTTCCAGAATATGTATGTTTCTATGTGTGTGTATGTGTGTGCGAGTGTGTGCGTGTGTTTATGTGTTTGTATGTGTATGTGTGTGGTTGTGTATTTGCTTGAACGGGTAATTTTACTTTATACCTTGTCAATGGAGTTTATCTTTGAAAGTGTTAATTACATCATTTTAAGGCTAATCAATGTTTTATTGATCTTATGTAATTTATATACATATTTATAAGGATATAATCAAGTAGAATTGGCAAAAATAACCTGATGAATTAATCTTTCATGAATGTATCTGAAAAGAGAAAGAATACAGTAGGAGAAGATTCAATGATATATATATATATATATATATATATATATATATATATATATATATCAGTTAAACGGACAATGTTATACAGAAGTGACAGGTGCTTCAATGTTTGAATATGAATTTATATCTATCAAGTACTGTACGATGGTAAATACCTCGAATGCCCTGGTACGGTCAAGAGTGAGGAGAGTCACCTCTCTCTTTCTCTCACTACAAATACTCTTATGTGGCCAAGCGTAAATAGCCACTGTCAGGAAAGTCCTACTCATTGCCTTTTCACAACACAGGTGTTATTTACAAAATCGAGAGGGTGAAAAGCGAATGTCTAACGCTGTAACCGGGTTGGTGGATATAGAAGATCCAACTAAGCGAGTTGGAAAACCCTGATTCTAAACCAATGATCCACATGGACTGTAGGATCCTGAAGGAACAAATGATGTATGGACCAATTATTGGTCACCAGCTATCATTAGACGGCATCTTGAGACCTTGCTCCACTACCATGTAGATCAGACCTTTAGGTCGCAAGCTCTGGATGTGGGCCTAACGAGGAAACCAGCTGTTTAGTTTTGGTAACCCGGGCAATATCCCAGCCCTCACCCCAATCTAATCACTTATGTGGCGCTTATGTATTCGATGTCTTCTTGTACCAATGTTTATGAGTTTAAATAAATAAATCAAAAAAAATAATGTAGTGATACTGCCAATTAGGGAATAGTGGCTTATCGACCGGACGAATGACACATAAAACCCATACGAGCAGTCTAGGGTACTTAGAGGTTCTGTTTCCTGCCTAGCCCTGCCTATTAAGTTTAGAACACCGATCTCAGCCTCCGCGATATGCATCATTTATTTCAAACATAATGGGTTTGTATCTCAAACAAACAGACTACATCGTACCATAAAATAGTAAAATTCGCCTAGTTAGATCCTCCATATCCACCAACCCGGTTACAGAGTCGGACATTCGCTTTTCATTCTCTCAATTTTGTAAATACCACATGTGTTGCGAGAAGGCACTGAGTAGGACTTCCTCGGCAGTGATTACATGCACGTAGCCACATGAGAGCAATTGGAGAGAGAGAGAGGGCTGACTCATCCCACTCTCGACTGTACCAAGTTATTTTGGCGGCCATTACATTATATATCAATAGGGCACAAACCCACAAGTTATAATAATGATCTCTTTTTAAATCTCACTACACATAATAATACCGAACCAAGTACAACTGATTGAGAAACCATTGATACAATGAAATATACGTTCTAAACCAAAATTCTAGTTCCTTTGATAGCGTGCTAAGTCAGTTGAACATTTCAATCTCCTATATATATATTACCCATTTGTTTTATCCTCAAAAGAAGTTCTCCATGTTAATTAAAACATTCAAATACTAAATGTATCTTCAGTTAATGTTTATAATGGATCATTATTTTATTGAATACAAAACAAATGAGAATCTCTATGCAGAATTATATAAAAGTTGAAATTGTCTCCTATTAATGTTGTTAATTAAATAACATTTAATAATTGAAATCATGAGTCAATTAAAGTTAGACTTGAACTGATAGGTCCTTGGTTCGAATCTTGCAGGGTGGGATCGTGAATATGCACTGCTGAAAAGTCCCATACTAGGACGAAACAGCCGTCCAGTGCTTCCAGGTATTCCATGGTGGTCTAGCCACAAAATCTCTGTCTCTCTGATTACAAATAACATTTGTTGATAAATGAGAGAGGGACGAAGAGACGAAGGGAGGAAGGGAGGTAGGAAAAGAATATATTTTATGCTTGAAAATAAAGGGGAAAACATCAATTAACCTTATTATGGAACAAAACATGTAACAATTTAACTTAAATAAATCTATTGAATACTACCTAAACGTTTTAAGATAAGAAATATGATTAAGTAATATAGTAGTTTTATTAATAATAACGATCAATAGAGTAAAGAACAAATACATCTTCCTATTTACAATGAATCAATATAAAATATCCGTTCAACAGGTACACCTTACTGACGAGTGCCAAATAGCATGAAACTCATGTACAGGGTTTCCTGTTGACTATCTCCAACCACCATCTTATCTCAACATAGTGCACGCAATGTCGAGTCATATAGATTAGTGGCCACACTGCAACTTGGTCGATAGCATTCGATCTGCTCTAATAAAGATTTGACACACATGACATTGATCACCACCCAGTGATCAATCAATTATGATAATAGTTGATCTTTTTATTAGTGGCTATCGATAGACTGTAGAACAAATACATCTTCCTATTCACAAGTAATCAATATAAAATACCTGTTCAACAGAATGGTGATTTTTCTAGTTGAGATTTAAACCTAAAAAGTTAAAGATACTAAATGGATGTGTATTATAAAATATGACTATTGTATTGAATGATTCGTTTGTTTGTAATACTTCAATAGTGTAATCAGAAGAAGACGAAGATAATCAGAACTATGTGATGATATAGATTAGTGCAATACATTTCGAACAATCTGATCATACACAGACACAGTATACTTGTTAAGAACATTAATATATATAAAAAGAAGTCCATCTAGACTACAAAGGGAGGATAACAGGAGACAAGGATAATAAAGAAATAATATGAAAACAATTTAAAACTTCATCAGTTCTGGATAATAAGTTTATATTACTAAGGTAACTTTAAGGTGAGAACAGTCAGTCACTCAGCTACCTCATTAGCACAACAAGATAAGCATCGGATTCATAGAAGTAGATAATTCAGTGGTGGGAACATATAAAAGAACGATTGTATATAAAGAGATACTACAGGAAGAAAAAAACTATTTGGTAGTAAGAAAGATATCAACAAATTTTAATCTCCATAGTTGAAAAGAAGACAGAGAGAGTAAAAGCGAGAACAAATTGTTTTTTTTGTTTTTTTTTGAGTACACAGAGTGGGGGCTGGATTTTCGTATGGATAAGGCTTTTTTACAACACCACAAAAACTGAGTTAAAATCAATCTGATGAACTGTTTCGATTGTAAGTTTGGCAATAGAGGACGATGAATATTTATCCTCTACTCTTATTAAATCATTCAATTCTATTTATTTCCGCATCGTATAGTTCTGATAATCTTCATCTTCTATATTATACTATCGAAAGGTATCAAAGACACTAATTGCTTTAGGTATGTAATATATTGTTAAAATTTTTATATTAAATAATGTACAGGATGAAGTTAGCAGAGATCATCTTCATATAGATAACCATCAAACTTAGATCTTACAATTGAAGATAAATAAACCTTAAATTCACTTATTATTACAGTCAGTAAAACTATTGTACATTGTATTAGAAAATCACTTCTTTTCATGGAAAGATTTCATGCAAACGATCAATGATAATTAAATAGGTAGATAGATAGATGTGTGCATAGATAGATAGATAGATAGATAGATAGATAGATAGATAGATAGATGTGTGGATAGATAGATAGATAGATAGATAGATAGATAGATAGATGTGTGGATAGATAGATAGATAGATGTGTGGATAGATAGATAGATAGATAGATGTGTGGATAGATAGATAGATAGATGTGTGGATAGATAGATAGATAGATAGATGTGTGGATAGATAGATAGATAGATAGATAGATAGTTAGATAGATGTGTGGATAGATAGATAGATACGTTTATCTCACTTATATATACATAAACATAATAGCAATCAAGCATAATTTAAGCCAAACATTATCAACACTGAATAGGATAATCAGGTAAGTAAACTGTCCATTGAATTATGTCACTAAGCAACAATTTATTAATAAAATTAATGTAAAACTTACACTTTATATTTATGTACACATCAGATCTAATTTCTTCTTACTTTTATGTGATAAACAACAAAAATCGGAATCGTTTTATTTATCTCTAAAATATTAGACAGTTTTAGTTAATGCCGACGTTTTTAACAAACAAACAAACAAACAAACAAACACACATTATACACTTACCCACGTACACACATACACACACTCACACGCTTATCGTCAATGTTGAGAAACAACTTAGAAACCTAAATAATAATAACAATCATTATTAATAAACCACTAAGTCTTTTATTTATTTGTGTTCATTATCTAATATACAAATACACTTATGTTTGCATATATGTCTATATATATTTCTGTAACTTCACACCTTCCCTCTCTACGCCTTCTTCTTCTTCTTCTTCTTCTTCTTCACATAACATAATCAGATATGGACGAATTACTGTTAATCACAAAAGATCAGTTCTCTTAGCAACAACAACAACAAAACAGCAAAAGAAAAGTTATTCTAAATGAAAGGGATCTAATTCGTATAATAAACAATACAATAAACAAACTATTCTTAGGATTAGCAATGTTTTACAAATTACATTTATATACATGCGCACATAGGCACAGACGCACATACATACATAGATACATAGATACATACATAGATACATATCTATTCTTTTGTTTTTGTTTATGCGTGTGTGTGTGTATGTGTGTGTGTTATTTAAACCAATTTAACCGGTTCTTCTTTACTTTTCTATTCTATTTATATATATAATACCATTATTCAATGATTAATCTTTAATCATGTAAATGTATTGTAGATAAGAGGCAATTTGACTTGATTATTATGATTATTAGAAAACTTTTATAATTCATTTCTTCGTCAATTTTTTTTTCTTTCTTTTTTTTTCTTTCTTTCTCTTTTTCTTTTTTTTTCTTTCATTTCTAATTGGTTTTTTGTTTAAGATTGTTTCTTAAATCGTATTATAGAATGGAATGGATCTAGATCAAGATAAGATTATTTCATTTCAGTTTAGAATTATCCTTCTAGTTATTAGATATGCATGAATGAATGAATGAATGAATGAATGAATGAATGAATGCATAGATAGATAGATAGATGGATAGTCAATGACAAATAGATAAGAAGATCTATCGAAATCAACAAAGATT